TGTCTCAGGTGTCAAACTAAAAAACAACATCATCAATAGTAAAACACAGCAGTGGTAGTGTGATGGTCTGAGGACCTGGATGATGGAACCATGAATTCTGCTTTCTACCAGATACTAGATGGAGGCTGTCTGACCTTTGGCCCTAAACAGGCCATTCATGCTAGAAACCCAAATCCTTTAAGAAGAGTGAGGCAAAATTCCTCTACAGTGATGTGAGAGACTCATTACCAATTATCACAAACAAGCTGCTGTTGATGCCAAGAGGGTCATTAATCCACATGGAGCCAGGCTGGTTTGGATAACAGTGTGGTGAAACCATCGACATTTAAATATTGGACAATGGGTCTCTATAGGCTCCAATAACACGTTTTTGAAGAAAAATGGGAGGTGGCCACCACCGCCATTTTGACCGTGTCACAGGTTCCGTCAAGCCCAGACAATTCCACAAAAGGGAAGAGAGGTGGAGCTGAGGGTGGGGCTGTAAGGCTGGGATCAACTGACAACACCTGGTCAAACTAGCTACAAGCTAACGTGAAGCTAACCCAAACCTAACGCGGAGGTGGGAGCTAAGCTAACGGAGGTAACAACCTAGCTACAACCGGAGTTAACTGTGCACAACACCAGAGCTTCTGAGTCAGAGATACGCCGGGCTGACCGCTGGGTAAAACCGGGTGGAACACAGAGGTCTCAGAGAGCTCCACAAGCAGGCAGCCGCACAGCAGACAAGCGCTACTACGATCTGAGATGCGCAGAGCTGCCGCTGGGGAGAACCGGGTGGAAAGGTTTCCATCCCAGGGCTCCACAAGCCGACAGCCGGCGCAGCAGTCAGAAGCCGCGATCAGACAGAGATGCGCCGAGCTGCAGGGAGGGGAAAACGGGTGGAAAACATCGGTCTCCCGAGAGCTCCACAAGCCGATAGTCGGAACCCAGCTCCACCAACATGTTATATTTCAACCCATTTTCTAAAGTGCAGCATTATGTTAAATGCACTGGGTTTTACCCTATTACATTTAAATTTCATGGTTAAACAGTACATGTTAAAATCTAAGCTCAGCTCTGCAGTGACCTAAAATACATAAATATAATTTTACTTACTGAAAAAATGAAGTGTAGACTCCTTGGACGCTCTATTAGTGCAATTAATGCCACAGCAAGTCATTTTGTCCAACAATTGCACAAATAATATCCAAACAAGAATACACACACACAGAGACTCAAAATCCCGGAACAGTTTCCAGGCCAGACCGAGGCTCTACTGAGGCCTTTCCACGGAGTTAGCTCTGTGGTCACGTGGGTCTGAGGCGGCGGTCACGTGGGTCTGATGCTCATTAATTATACCGAATTTCAGGCTTTTAATACACTTAAACAGAAGAGTGAGAAAAAAATTCACCCCCCTCAGAGTTGTCATGAGTGTAAACTAGATAATTTAAACAAAAAACATGTTTTGGTACCAGGCTGTAAACATGTTTATTTCTGCTGTGAAATTGGTATTTTTAACATGGGAGTCAATGAGGATTTGCTCGCTTCTGACACCAGCCGCCAGCGGATGAGGGTGGAACTGCAATTTTTGGGACGTCCGGGATTGCTTCAATTTTTGAGCCGCATTGTGGGGGCTTGGGTGAAACCAATGGCTATAGAGTCACCCTGCCTCTGATACACACTAAACAAATCAATACACAATCATAAGAGCGAGAAATGCCCTCCCGTTCAACTGTCAGCAGCATTAAAGCAACATTTTTAGACTGTTTCAACATTTTTACAAATAATTCATATGTATTACTATTTTGAACTCTCTGTGGAAGGCAGCTCTTTGTTCTGAAGATCATTTATTTATATTTTTAGTTTAATGTTTTTACTTGGCCAAACATGTCACACTGAGGTGAAATTTAAATATAGACATTACAAAAATAATTAGTTAAATACAGCATCAGTTGAACTTTGACCAAGAGAATCAGAAGCTTCAGATTTTATTTTTTCTGTTTTTGTGAGGGAGTAGGTGCAAAACCAAGTGCAAAGATGTAGACTCTCATCTTAGAATAATTGTGCAATTTGAGCTGAAAAAGACGAATATTTGATTTTTTTTTTCTAAAACTGTAGTGAAGGTGTAGTCAGTCAGCCCATGCACTCTTTCATCCATCCACTCATTCACTCATTTATCCATCAATCATACATCGATCTATTTATTTGTCCACTCATCCATCCATTCATCAATCCATCATCTCATTCATCCATCCATCCATTGTACTATCCATCATCTATCCATCCATTAAATCACTCATTTATCATCATCCATCCACTTAACTGTCCACTCATCCATCCATTCATCCTTCCATCTGTCCATTCATCCATCCACTCATCCATTCATCCATCTATCCATCCATTCATCCATCCACTCATCTATCCGTCATCCATCTATCCACACATCTGTTCATCATCTATCCATCCACTCATCTATCCATCCATCCATCCATCCATCCATCCATCCATCAATCCATCCATCCACTCACTCATCCATCCACTCATCTATCCACACATCTATTCATCATTTGTCCGTCCATCCACACTTCTATCCATCATTTTTATAATTTCAACGAAATGTTTTTTTTCTCATTTTGAAGAAAAATTTTTAAACACAAAAATAGCACAAATGAAGCTCTTAATGCTCCAAATGTATTCCTGCTCATGATGACGAATCAGACTTAATATAAAGCCGATGACGCTCTCACACATTCCAATATGCTAAGTCAGTTCAGTCTTTAATACACAGTGCATACACACTCTGTAAATATTCTCTTGTGACTGCATGAAAACACAAACACCCTTCACCCTTTCTCTCTCACTCTGTCTGTCTTTCTGTGTGTGTGTGTGTGTGTGTGTGTGTGTGTGTGTGTGTGTGTGTGTGTGTGTGTGTGTGTGTGTGTGTGTGTGTGTGTGTGTGTGTGTGTGTGTTTCAATGGCAGGAAATAAAGACAAGACAGCTCTCAGCTCAGGCGAGAAAAAAAAGACTTTCACTGGTGGTTTCCATGGAAACAGTCTCCCTTTCACTTTAGGGGGAGGGCAAGTGACTAGTAGATGAGTTAGGCCGACATTTAAGATGGCTCATGAGCAGGGTGGGAGTGAATTTAAGGTGGTTTAAAGTATGAATCTGTCTGACTTGTCCACAGCAGGTATAAGACGGGTCACATGAGGTAATCAGATGATCATGCAGCCGGGTGATAATTGAGGTGTGCATTTGTTTCACCTTGGGCTGCACAGTCAGCATGCTCAGCTGCCAGGCCACACACATACACACACACACACACACACACATACACACACACACACACACACACACACACACACACACACACACACACACACACACACACAGATGATTGAAATCAAGATTACAGATCTGTCCATAATTACATTACAGCGTGAGGGATATTGCTGGATATCTCTGTCATGCAGAGCAGATGATAGTAAAAATAAAAGGAGGGAGGATTAGTGTGTGAGAGAGCGAGTTTGTAGTGTTTACGTTTGGATATCACACTCTGTGATTAACACTCAAAAGGAATACTCCACTAAACATATTCCAATGAAGTGTCCTGGGATTACTGATATTCTCAGCTAATTCTCTTTAAAATGATTATTTAACTTGTATTCAGTGAAATTAGTCAAATGAATATTTTAATTCTACTGATTAGGCACATGTAGCCTATGAAATATACCTAAACTATTTTTGTTTGGAAAGTGTTTAACAGAATAACCTTTTTTATTTGTATTATATTCAGTTTTTAAAAAATGCTTTTAATAAAAAAACAAATAGAATTTTCTTTACAAAAATGCAACTTTTCAAAAACAATTATACAATTTCATAAGATCTACAATCAGTCCTAAATGTTAAATAAACGTTTGTGAGACAAAGCTGAAACTTCCAAACTAAACTCCTGCCCCAGCTTCAACTTTTCCTCACCTTCCATTTGCCCCGTCTCACTGCCAAGGTTGTCAGTTCTTGACTGCCCTTTGTGTGTGTGTGTGTGTGTGTGTGTGTGTGTGTGTGTGTGTGTGTGTGTGTGTGTGTGTGTGTGTGTGTGTGTGTGTGTGTGTGTGTGCGCGCGTGCGTGCGTGCGTGCGTGCATGTGTGTGTGTGTAAAAGGCTGAGGGTCAAACCGAGTCCTTGATGACTCATTGCTAGTGCGTTTTTGTCTCATGACACATCCTGTTTGTCCATCCGCATCTCCAGTTATTTTCTCTTAAAATTGTAACTTTTAAACACAAAACTTGAGAACAAACATAAATGACCGTTGATGAAGAACACTTCCTGAAGAAATCCGGATCAAGATTATTTATATTTTAGATATTTTTGAGTAGGCAGGAACGGGCAAATCAAGTAAACTGTGGGTTGATGTATATTTTTATGTGGTGACGCTGTGAAACAAAGATCTTCGCTCACTGTTGGCTAAAACAAGCACCTAAATGCCATAAATCTGAAAACATATAAAGAAAAAGCCAATTTTAACACTGCATCAGGTGTTTGAAGTGACTGAATCTATAAGAGCGTTCATGAGTTTGATCTTTTCCCTGAACTGCTTCAATGAATCATTGGAAGGATGAATCCAAAGGACAGATAGTAGAAAACAAACTATAGGTAGGCGAGGTGATGATTAACAGAGCAACTATTCAAGGAGAAAACAAGTAGTTGTGCAGGAGAAACAGAACGTAGTGTGATGGAGGTATTTGGCCTTGAAGGATTGTGTGCACAAGAAGAAATGACAGGGAGAATGTTCTTTCCCTCCTTCACTTACGCTTTATTGACTCTTTGTCATGAATCGTGTCTCAGTGAGGAAGCCCCCAATGCCGATTGAAGTGTTGCCTGTCAATTGAAAAGCGCTTTGGGAGCGCCGACTGTATCTGTGAGCCGAAGGATTCGTGTTGTTTCCCCTGAGTGGTTCCATTCAGCGTTCCTCCTGCTCTGAGCATCAGCTGACTTTATTTCCTGTGGTTCTTCTTCCTCTCAGAGCTGCCGTACGGCTGGGAGAAGATAGATGACCCCATCTACGGCAGCTACTATGTAGAGTAAGTTTCTCCATCACATGGGTGAAGCTCTGTTATAAAACACAAAACAGTATTAAAGATGTAACCATAAACTTTTTAAACATTTACAGAATAAAGTATTTATTTTGTTATAGTATAGTGTAATTTACTCTTTAACTTTGAGGACAGAATTATAAAATCACAAAGTTTAATGAAGTTTTGAAACTGGCTTTTACTAATGATACGTAAATAGCTAATTAGTTAATAGCATCATAGCTAATTAACATGTTTAGGCCCCTAGAGGTATTGATGGTGACTTGATAAAGTTCAAATCAAATATTAGAATGAGGTAGAAAGGAGATTTAAAGTAACAGAGTAGTTTCCTGCTCCTCCGCCCTAATGGTTGAAAGTGAATTGCAACTGTTGTAAACAACCCTGCTGCAGCCTGCTATAGCTAGCGCTAACAACAACCAAACTACTAACATGAGCCAGCTAATTCTAAAATAAACCACAAAGTAAAAAGATCCACACTGTTGGACAAAAAATATTATTACTTACAAGTCCAGTAGCAACAAAGACCGGTCACTATCAGTCCGTTGTGTTGTAGCCTCATTTAGCTCCCCCATACTAGTGTAGGCCACGCAGATGTTTGCTCCGGTTTTAGCTTTTTTGCTTCACCTCTAAAGATTTTACTCTCTTTTACTTCCAGGCTCAGCCATGATGCCAACAAAAAAGCTAACTTCCTTTTCTTCTTCTTGCGCTTTTTATTGACTATCAGCAAACTGAAAATACTAACCGCTAGCATTACAGCTAACAGTCGTAAAGCAGGTTAAGAGTGCCCCCTAGAACACCTACCCGCTTTACAAAACTGTCAAGTGTGGTTTTTGGTCAGCAGAGGGCTGCAGAGTGGTGTCAACTATAAAACCGGTCACATTTATAATTCACAATCACTGAGATCAACGTTAAAGCTTTAGCTTAAAGTAAAACAACTATCTGTTACTTAAAGTGACTTTACATGTGGCGTGTTTTGTTGGTAAGAAGCTGTTGACCTAGAGGGATTTTCACCCACAACCTAGCAGCAGTTGTGTGTACCAGCAGCTATAGCTCACACTTAGTTTCATGAAGCTGTAACTTTAATTTGACCATTTCCTGCTAAAATCTAACATGAGAACAATGATCTGAGCCACAAAGCTGCTGGTTCTTATTACAAAATGTTTGTAATTTTATGCACAATTGTGTTGGAATGTATTATATATTTGTGATGTTTTTGTGATTTTTCAATGTTTCACTGTGTGTTTTTAATTTAAAAAAAATTATTTTATTTTATTTTATTTTCAGCCACATCAATCGAAGGACTCAGTTTGAGAATCCCGTTCTGGAAGCTAAGAGGCGTCTGGAGCAGCAAAGACAGATCCAAAGCCAGGGCCTCTCTGCTCTGCCTTTACCTACAATATATAGAGGTACAATTTTATAATGTCCAAATGAAAAGCACTTCAAATTCAGATGCAATTAAAAGAATAAATTCATCATCATGCAGAGAAGTGGGCAGTTTTGTGGGCGTCAGATGGAACAGATGTCACGTTGTGGTTTGTAAGGTTGGATGAAAATGACCCTAAAGAACATGTTCAGCCCAAGGCCTCCAGTGGGATCATCCAGGCATGCGTATGATGACATACGAGTGCAGCACATTATGTGCTGCTTCGTCTGAGTGACGTATCCTATGAGTCAGTTCGTCGAGGAAATACATCCTCGTGTCAGATTAACACGATCGTTTCCAGGCTTCATATCGGTTAGAAAATGTGTGACAAAACTAACAATAAAAGAGATGTGAAATGTAACAGGAAAACCTCTTCTGAATGCAGAAAAGCCGTTGTTCACCAGGGATCCGACCCAGCTGAAGGGCACCTTCCTGTCAACAGCCCTGCAGAAGAGCAACATGGGATTCGGGTTCACAATTATTGGAGGTGACGAGCCCGATGAGTTCCTGCAAGTGAAGAGTGTCATCCCAGAAGGACCTGCTGCCCAGGACGGGAAAATGGACACAGGTGATTATGTGTACTGGTCCTATTGAGACATAAATTGTGTTTTAAACAAAGGGCAAGTTGCTGCTTGTAATTCGGTAACCACAGAAAGGGTTCTTCATCATTATTCTGACTGTTCAGCATTTAGGAATCTAATTTATTTCTTTAGAAGCTTAAAAAGAAAGAGAATTTAATTTGACTGAAAAATAAGCTCAGACCAGCCTGTTGAGCTCAGACTGTTAATGTGCAATAAAAAGTGATGCTGTGTTAGAACAGATCACTTCTTAGCATCTGAATTGGTAGAAATGATCATTTCTGATGTGTCTCCCTGAAGGAAACTGGAGCATTTAGTGTCACAAAAATATTTTTAGATGTCAAGGATTTGCTTCGTTGACCAAATTTTCTAATTCAGTTTAATCTCAAAATCGCTTGATAAATCTCCAGGTGATGTCTTAAAGTGCAGCAATAGATATGAATAATTTTAGGCAGCAATCCTTCCCTTCAGCCTTTATTAACACATAAATAGACACCCACGGATGCTAAACGGGCTGTTCTAATAATAAAAAGCTTCCGGCAGAACCAAGGATGTGTCTTGTCTAAATGTTCCCTCCTTGCTCTTTCCTTTTTATTTGCTAAATATTTTACAAACTCAACTAAAGTGAAGTTGATGAAAATTTTACCCTTCATGTTAAATTTGCACCCCCTGTCGACAAAATTACTCTGATAACTTAAGAATGATAGAAGATGTTGAAGTTAGAGCAAGAGACTTTTGGATTCCCATCCAAAGGTGTGCCTTTGCCCCCATATGCGCGTTTCCAGGTGAGAACTTTAGTTTTTTTTACTGCCATTTTTCTCTTTTATTTGAAACAACTGAGTGAAAACACCCTGCTTCGTTAGGAGAATCATTTCTGTTTTCAAAGTGGCACTGCAGGTGCAGAATTCAGGAGATTTCTTAAATAACTCGCACAGAGTTGCATCTGTATCATAAAATTACTCACTTCATGCCTCGTGTTTGAATGTTAAATCAGATTAAACTCCAACAATAGCATGAAGAATTTTCCGTTTTACTTCATGTTGAGTTATGATTAGATGGTTTAACAAACCTTTTTTATTTGCAACCTTTACTTTAAGTCAAGTTGTGATATTGTGGTGTGGATATTTAGGAATCATCAACATCTACAGAAATCACAAGCTGGTACCTAAACGCCTCATTCAGAGCACATTTCTTAGCTTGAGTCCCTTCAGCTGCTGCTTGCTGGTTTTGTGTCTCTGACAGTTTTTCTTTTATCTGGTTTCTATCTCCTTCTATTTTATCTCTATCTCTTCTTGTCTCTCCAGCTCACTCTTTATTATTCTTTCTTATCTCACCATGTTAGCTGACACGTCTCTTCTGTTCTCAGCCTCAGTATGTTTTTGTCCGTTATCTCTTTCTCCCTCTCTGGGTGATTTTTTTCCCTTCTTCCTTCCCTCTGTCCTGGTCTGTCAGCCTCTACCTTCTGCTCTCTGTTCTGATTTCTTTCCCTCCAATTTGCTCATCTCCACTCCACGCCGCCGCTGCTCACACACAGACACTCCCCGCCTGAGATTAGCTGGCCTATTTGAGCTGTGCAGCACTGCTCTCAGGGATTGTGTATGATTGTGGATTTGACGTGTGTGTGTGTGTGTGTGTGTGTGTGTGTGTGTGTGTGTGTGTGTGTGTGTGTGTGTGTGTGTGTGTGTGTGTGCACGCGTGCGTGCGTGCGTGCGTGCATGCGTGCGTGTGTGTGTGTGTGCACTTGTTACAGAGTTCCTCCAGAAGTGTGAAATAAAGTATTTCAGACAGCTGTATTTGTCACACTGTGGCTTTAAAGGTGAATTGCATAACTTTCCACACATTCAGACAGTTCAGCAGAATAGGATCTAAATAATATGATAATTAAGACACAAACTAAACTCATTTCGATATCAAAGACAACTTAAGTGAAAGCTAAAAGCCGTTTTCAAATTTCGATTAGACATCGTCTTATGTGGAAAAAGCATTTGCCCCCTCCCCCCTTGTTAAATTGCGATTGACCACATTCTTTGGAGAGCAAAAGACCTGGACACAACTAGACTTGTAGAATTAAGAAAACACTTCCTGTTTGACAACAGGAAGTAGGCTAAAGGATCTCAAAAGTAACACATCATGCCTCCATGTGAGAGTTCCGAAAACCTCAGCTGAACACACATAACACCAAGACCCGTCCCACATTTACCAAAACCCCAAGACAGTTGGGTAAATATTCAGTGGACTGGTGAGACACATAGATTTAGAAAAACAACAGTCCAACATTGTAGATCTCCATCAGTGGTGCCCAGGTGATTCGATGTTCCTCTGCAGCTCTCCAAAGGGACGCTCTGCTGCTTCCTTGCTTTGTTGCATCTTGTTTTGATGCCACTGAGATTTACAGACTGTGACAGTCTTTTGGGAGCACCGTACTGAACCTGTAAAGATCAGGAGGTCTGTGAGACATGAAACAGTTCCCAGTGTGACTAAAGCTGTCTGTCTCTCTTTCAGGGGATGTTATTGTCTACATTAATGATATCTGTGTGCTCGGTACCACTCATGCCGACGTCGTGAAGCTGTTCCAGTCTGTTCCCATCGGCCAGAGCGTCACCCTTGTGCTCTGTCGAGGATATCCTCTGCCCTTTGACCCAGAGGATCAGAGTGCTGCAGCAAGCACCTCCCTCACACCCATCGGCCTAGAACACCGTCCACTTGTGGTGAATGGCCGAGGTAGCTATGACCCATACCTGGAGTACCTGTCTTTGAGCTCGCAGCTTCCTCCTCAAGCTTTGGCCCAGGCTGGAGTCTCTCACCCCGGAGACACACACCTGGACGGCTCGTCCCTGCCTCCCACCACGCCCGGCTCAGCGTCGGCACACACACCTCGTGAAGATAACGTGTCAATGGCCTCCTCTGGGACTCCAGGTGTTGGCGGGACAACTGGACCAGGTGCAGAATTGCTAACTGTCACCATGGTGAAAGGCGCTGAAGGATTTGGGTTCACTATCGCCGACAGTCCAACTGGTCAGCGAGTTAAACAGGTGATGGGATGTTTCCTCCTGACTAAAATATCAAAAACACACCTCAGGTTATATTTCCATTTGTTGACTCATGTTGATTCACAGAGTTCTCACCCTGCTGTCGCACGTTTAGCTGATGTTTGGCTATAATTAGACTTTTTTTGTGCTTTAAAGAGTGGTTAGGGTCAGTCCAGAGATCCCAAACACGCTCTTTTGCCAATCCTAGCCTAGTTCAGAAACCTTTTCATCCTGAAAACTTCCACTTACAGACCAAGTTTAGTCCACTTTTAGCCCAAACATCTGCATCCTCTTATTTTGAAGTATTTTAAACACTGACACTCTCACCCTAGAGCAGCTCAAGATCACCCTTTTAAACTGGTGAGTCACTGTCAGAAAATCCTGATCTCCTGCAGCCGTCAGTGCGTGGTTGTGTCTTTAAGTCTGACGAAAGCATCAATAGACAAAATGATCTACCTGATGTTTCACTTTTTAATAAAATAAGCTCTAAAAACTCCTGAATACAGATTTTTGTAACAGAAGAGTGATACTGGAAGTGTTGCTGTGCTGCAGGTGTTGGAGCCAGGCTCACAGGGAGCATCGGGGCTGATAGAAGGAGATCTGATCCTGGAGGTGAACCAGCAGCCAGTAGCTGCAGCGGGACACGGACGAGTGGTGGAGCTGCTCAAAGACTGTCCTGTGGGAGTGGAGGCGACGCTTCTCATCCAGAGAGGAGGAACAGGTCTGAAAATGTAGCCTCCTTACAACGTCTGATCAATAACTAACATGATACATTACAGTATCATCATTTCAACCCCAGCTTGAACAAAGCTGTGTAAATATAGCACTGAATATAATAAAAGTTTGTTTTATTAATAATCCACAAACCCTTTAGTATTAAATTTTGAGTAAAACACAAAAAGGGGATAATCTGTGACACTTTATTACTTTTTTATAGTTTTTAATTTATGTTTGGCAGCAATGAGGATGAACTCTCATAAATTAGAGGTCCCAAGCAAGAGTGACTTCCTGCTAAATATGTGTTGGACGCTGATCCAAACACTAAAGTATCACTCTGCTGTGCATCTTCAGCCTCAGCTGCAGATTTATCGAGGGGTCAGAGCAGATGTAACTGATGAGGGTCGTTCTAAATATCGCTTATTTTTTCACACATATTCAACATTTTTCCCCACGTTAGAGAAGACTGCAGATGGGAGAAGAAATTCAACAGTTTTACGATGTAAAATAGGAAGAAAAACACATTGAACAACAAGTTTTATAATGTGGTCCGTACTGGCAGAAAATACAGACGCATGACAGGGCTTTGTTGCAAACACATGCAGAGTTTTAGATGTAAAATAAAGTGGAGAATGAGGATGAGAGGCATCATTAAAGTCACTGTGAAGTGATGCATCTCTCAGCGGAGAAATAAAGCTGTTGGAGCCTCTCACCTTTACAATAATTACGGTTGTTTTACATAATGAGAGAAGGGTAAAGCTGAATGGTCTCAAACAGTATCTATTATTTTTCTGCATGCACCTTTAAGATTCCAAACACACTTTCAACATTTCAAATCTTTGAAAAAAATGTTTTGTTGTGAAGATCTTTGACATGCAGATTTGTGTAGATTTGCAGGAATTGGATAAAATGTGATAATTTATCTTTTTTCTGTTTGTCCGCCTGCGAGGACATGAAACAGCACAATGTGGGCTTTTATTTGTTTGACATGAACACTTGCACTGGTTCTCTGAAAGATGTTCCAGTCAGAGGTCAGTGTCCTCGAGCGGCTCCAACCACTGAACCATACTTTGTAAGTTAACCAGGTGATGATTGAACAAACAGCACCACCCTTTAGCTATTAAAAATCCCTTTATTTTAATCTGTACCGATTTGCTCTTGTCATTAAGAAGGCGCTGGCTGCTCTGGAGTTAACTGCCAGGAGTGAAAAAGTTAATTTGCATTGTTTCTGAGATGGTATCAGAACACTGAAGAGGAATTATGGATGGGTCCTTGTTTGCATCACTCTTTTTGTGGATAGTATTTAATTAGGGATGAAATTAATCAGTCGCATATGCATCTCGGGTCTAATTAATTTATGTGTGACGGGAATTATGAGAAGCCATCAAAGGCATTAGTGCTCGGTGATCCTGATATGCGACTACCTGATGTTAGGGCTGGTTTGCTGATTTTACGAGTGTCTGTACTGCTAGCTCATAGTGTACAGATCCATACCGAACTTCAGCACACCTGGATCTACATGCTATGTCCGCTTAGATTCGGTAACTTGACCGTATTAGAGCTGATTAATGAGCCAGAGATAGTGATGAGTCCAGATGATTAGAGTGAGAAAAGAAAAGGCAGCAATGTGTGATGTACATGAGCAGCTGAGATCTGAAGTCATGCCTCTTCTTGAGCATCTTTTGACCCTGCAGAGCCACTTTCTGCCCCCTGGTGGTCACCTATAAACCTTGAGTTCCTCATTAATAATACATCCACAGCTCTCTTTTGGAATTTACCCATAAACCCAAGCAGATAACCTTCTAAATGCTGAGTTAAATCTGATAAACTTCCTCCTTTTTCACAGAAATGCTGTCTCCTCCTTCAGCCTCATCAGATTTAATCAAAACAAAAGCCCCGCAGGGGATCTCAGCCTCACACTAAAGGAAGTCTGCTGCCTCTCTTCATGCCCTCTCTGCAGTGAAAAATGATTCAGGTTTTCAATACAACAGGAATGTTTAAGCACGCTTTATTCATCCGCTTTATGTGGAGATTGTTAATAAATCCTGATGATTTCACATGTGTGACTGAGGAGCGTTGAGGTGCTTTGTGTAACACCATCCCAGGGTTTAGGAATTAGCTGTGTGTGTGTGTGTGTGTGTGTGTGTGTGTGTGTGTGTGTGTGTGTGTGTGTGTGTGTGTGTGTGTGTGTGTGTGTGTGTGTGTGTGTGTGTGTGTGTGTGTGTGTGTGTGTGTGTGTGTGTGTGTGTGTGTGTGTGTGTGTGTGTGATTGCCTCACTGTAACGTGGGCACGCCGCCAGAGTTCTGCTGAGCACCGGTCATGTTCACAGCTCCGTCCCCTGACATCCCAATTTAAAACACAGAACCAACCGCAGACTCCGTACTTGTCTCAATACCAATGAGGATGCAGATGGAGGCTGCCAGGAAGAGTCACACCATCCAATCAGGCGAATCTGAAGCCCATCCAGAACTCAGCAGGCTAGTCTGTGAGCTGGGCCTGCCAGACGGCTTGACCGCTGACTCGAGAAAGAGAGGCCATGTGAAGACTCTCTAAAAGTCATGCATTTGGGATTCATCAGCACGCACGTGAATGCACCACACTTTCAGCACATATGCTGCTGAGTTTTATTTGCATTTAAGTCAAGCTGACGCGCCTCTGCAAGGCTGACGTCTTTGAACAGAATGGACAGTTTCCTTGTAACTGTCACTGGTTCCCTTCTCCTTTTCTTCTTTGAGTCTTTAAGGAAAGTTTTTCTGAAAATGAGTTATTAGAATTACTTAAAGGCCTCCCTCGGGGCCTGTATTCCCTGCAGAACGCGGTTATTAGTCCCAGCCTCCCACCAAGCCCTCCCTCTGAGGCTGAATCATTTCAGCACCATGGATAGCGCTCCTTGACGTTGTTTATGGTGTCTGTGGATGGAAATGTTTTTGTTTTCCTCGTCGTTGGGCCTTCTCCTCCCCCTCATAAACATGACAAGAACGAATAACGTTTGGTTGCAAAATGGGGCATAAAAATTTAGAAATATGGCAAAATAAATTAAATAAATGCGTATAAAGGCATACTTTCCTGCTGGTTCTTGTAGAGTGCTGCCTCTCTGCTCTGTTGCTATGTGCCATAGACTTCAACTCATGCATCTAAAGAGTGAGCGGATGCAGCCGGAGAGGAATACCATAAATATATTCCTCCCTGTGCTCTCTGACATTTCTCAAGAAATCTCGTAAACTGAATAAATTTTAAATATTCTTGAATTCTCAAAATGATTTCACACAGACACCTACGTCTGTTGAAGGATTTCTGCTTCATGTTCATGTTTCTATCCACATGCGAAAGCCTCAAATCGAATGTTTGTTAAAAAGCAGCCGCTCTGTGTCTAAATGCATGTTTTGGGGTCTTAGCTGCACAAATGGAGCGGACATCTGAGGTTCGGCTTCACAGGGGAGCGGTGCTTATGGGCTTGTTGTTTTGTGATACAGAGCTTCCTGATTCTTTCATGCAGATAAAAATGAACTTGCAGAGAAAAAGAGTGTGTGATACGAGCTGGAAGTGGGTGCCTTTGCCTACAGCTGATGATGTAATTATGTTGAAAACAAATGCAACAATCAAAACTGTTTAGGAGGAGTTCCAAGTTAAAATAGACCTGAGAATTGCATCTTATGAGTCTATATGTAGTTTTATTTTTCTCCCCTTTATTTGTGTTAACAGATAACATTTATGTCTGTTCATTGTGTCATTCCTCCCTAATCCACAGGCCACATCTCTCCATGGAAGGCCTCCAAACAGGTATGACTGAAGTTTTTCTTTGGACTGGCTTTGCTTTTCATTCATTTTCAGTCAATTTTGTGCAATTTGTGTTTGAAAGAACAAAATGGAACAATTGGAGGCTACAAGAAGAAATGTTGGGTCTACTAAAAGCTGTCTACAGCATCTGAAAGTCTGTGTCTTTAAGCAACAGTAACAGCTAATCTAGAATCCATAAATCAGGACTTGTGACTGTAGATAAATATTATTTTAGAACGTAACGATGTGAAATAGTTTTTGGCTAAATTGCTTGTGTTTTGACACAAAACTGGATCAGCTCTTGAGTTTCAGAGCCTTTCATGCCTGAATGACTCAGAGGTCAGAGTTAAGTGTCTGAACAAATATGTCTGAAAATGGCATCGGACAGAGAAAGGGAGAAAGCTCTTTATAAAAGGTTTTCTGATGCCGGAAGAACTATTGATCAAGACCTCTTTAAAGTATTTCTTAAAAACCCGGTACGACTCAGGAATTTTACACACGGCTGCAGAAGCGGTGTCACCTCCGAGGTATTTGGCATTTACCGGATCGTGGAAAGCGATAGCCCTCCAGTGACCTGCTTATTAGTATGATCTCATCAAATTTCACATCTGAGCCAGTGGAGAAAAGCTGCTCTGATTTAATCTGCACCTGTTTGCTCGATCAGGTCTCGTTCATTCTACACTAAATGTTCAGACATGATGAACCACTCTTCAGTTAGGCTGAAAATGTTAATATTTATTTAAACTCATGTTCACATCTGCCCTCGCCCAGACACGTTTGCTTTTTTTTTCCCCTCTCTGCATAATCGAGTCGCCGCAGCGTTTAACTAAATTTAGCTCACAGACTTAACATGGTGATGCATTTTTTATCTGTTTAGGTCTGATGAATATTTCATCATTCGAGCTACATGTTTCTTCACGTGGTTCCTGCTGTTTCTGCATAACATTAGCCATGTGGTTCTGTTAATCATGTTATTATTTGATTAATTAGTGTTGTTATTCAATCCTGCCGTGTTTGTCATTAAAGGCGGATTTCTCTGTAATTAACTTAAATCTCAGTTTTAAGTCTGCTTATTTTGACCCTCATTTATATTTTGAGGAGAGTGGAAAGAAAATGTAAGGGTTTTAGGTGTAATTGTAATCTTCATTTAATTTGTTATATTTTAAACTCGGATTTGCTGTGAAAGATTTAGATGGGAGTATAAATGTATTTATCACTTGTTGGTGGTGTTTCTCTTCCTGTTCCCTGACTGGTGGGACCCTCAGGGTAGCCCCCATACTAACCTATCAGGTCCCGTCTTACCGCCTGGAACGCCCTTCCCAAATCAGCCCCAACACCGCACATCTGTGCCCGACTCCACAGAAGGCTTCGACCTCAACAAACCTGACCCTTATGATCTCTACGAGAAGTCCAGGGCCATCTACGAGAGCAGGCGTGAGTGCAGGAACGTCGCTAATAATAAATAAAATGAAAAAAGAAAACATCTATCTCAACTCTCTGCCTGGTGTCAGGTCCTGAATACGAGGAGGTGGAGGTGCACCTGCTGAGGGAGAAGACAGGGTTCGGCTTTCGCATCCTGGGGGGAGACGAGGCCGTGCAGGCTGTGAGTCCGGACGCCCGTGACAAGGCTCGTATGGGACGGGCTGGACCACTCACACGTTTAACCTCATACACACCTGCAGCTGATCTCATGCTCTTCATCCTCCAGCCACACAAACACTCACAAGCACTCTAACTGCTCAGTGCCTCCCATACTGAAGTCATGCCTTGCTAACTGTCCATGTTGTTACCAGCATGCTGTCTGTGATCCAAAGAGAATTTGGCTGCAGATAATCAGGAAGGTTTCTGTGATCTGAAAGTAGCTCATGAGCTGCTAAAAGGCCATTTTCCTGTGTTAGTCCTCCGTGCCTCCTTCTCATCTTTTCCACCTTCATCTATGCTGCTAATATTGATTGTCTTTGGACAGATTGTTATTGGCGCTATAATAGAGAACACTCCTGCTGAGCGTGATGGGCGGCTACGACCTGGGGATGAGCTGATTTCAGTGGATAAAAACGTGGTTGCTGGGAAACCGCACAAATACGTAATAGACTTGATGCACTCGGCCGCTCGCAACGGTCAAGTCAGCTTAACTGTGAGGAGGAGAGTGCAAATGCCAGGTGAGGACATGTTTATTTCTCTTCTCTTTTGTGTGTCTGTGTGTGTGTGTGTGTGTGTGTGTGTGTGTGTGTGTGTGCGTGCGTGCGTGCGTGCGTGCGTGTGTGTGTGTGTGTGTGTGTGTGTGTATGTTGTACATTACCAAGATGGGAGAACAGGCTGCAAATTTCACTGGCATCAAATTAAAACACACAACTTGGACACACACTGGCAGTCTATGTGCAGGATCAGTGTGTGCTTCTCACCCACACAAACATCTATCTTGTGGGGGTTTTTTTTTGTTTGTTTTTTTCTTCCTTTCTTGGATCTAGTTGGGCCTACTTTTGCACAGAAGTCATGAAAGACAGAAACACTGACTTTTGACATGACACATTTATGTTTTTTGCTGCTCTGAGTAACTCTGAGCTTTGTTTTTTCCTGCAGGAGACCATTGTCCGGTGAACGGCCGTAGCCCCGGCTCGGTGTCGACTCAGCACAGCTCTCCACGTAGCGATGCAGCCTCTGCACCTAACCCATCGGCTGCCACCATCTCTGTTGTCACCTCACCTCCAGAGGGGTCTGCCGTTCAAACCAGTGATGTGGTTATAAACCGCAAGGAGAACGAGGGCTTCGGCTTTGTCATCATCAGCTCCCTGAACAGGCCCGAGAACGCCACGGTCATCAGTGAGTTGAGAAGAGATTTGCATCCTGAAGTTTGTTCCTAAATGCAGGCAGTGACCATGCAGCCTGATGATGAACCATCCACAGGGCAGTGTTTGAAAGGCTTGATTGATTCTGCTCCTTTGTCAATGCCACTTAATGTTCATGGACTCGCCCATTTTGACTCAAAACTGGGAAGACTGTTGTTGGTTTAACATCCAGGAAACAACAGAGAACATCTCCGCTAGTAGAAGCTAACCATTAGCATTAGCAATTCCACCACACAGCAGAACTCCTTCAGGCCAATCAAAGGCAAAATGTCCAAAAATCAGGAAATAAGACTCCAAATCCTGCCGTCTGCTGCCACTTTCTCCTCCGACTGATTTCTATGTCTTCAAACAAGCATATCTGAGCATTTTTCCTGTAGAGAATAACTTACAAGGCATTCTTTCCTACTAGAGCCCACAGCAAATGTAAAAACATATGAGTGAACTTGATTTTTTAATTAAGCCTGTAATAAATGTACTTTGCTTAAGAGATCTTAAATCTGCAGGATTCGTTACTGAGCACAGATTAATTTTCCATTTTTTTAAGTATCCAGCATTTATAAAATTATTAGCTGCATTCAAAAAATATTCACATAAAGTTGAACTAAAACTAATTTAATCCCTTTTTGAGTATTTAATGCTGCAGGTTGGAGTCTTACTCTCTGCAACAAGTTCAAACAATAATGGTTCTGATGCAAACGAGTCTAAAACTGGAGTTAAAGAAGCTGTGCAGGTTATGGTTCTAAGTACTGAAGCTGTGAATGATTTCTTCATCCCAAATCTGAGACTGACACCGAAGCTTTTGTTCGTCTCCAGCTGTTCCCCATAAAATCGGACGCATCATTGAGGGAAGTCCTGCAGACAGGTGCGGGAAACTGAAGGTGGGAGACCGGATCCTGGCTGTAAACGGACAGTCCATCATCAGCATGCCACATGCAGACATCGTCAAGCTCATTAAAGATGCTGGACTAACGGTCACGCTGCACATCATTCCAGAGGAAGGTGAGTATCTATGAATGAACCAGACATTAGGGTAATTTTTGTGTGTGGTTTCAGAAATTTGCTCCCGAACGGCCTCTCGTTTAGGCCATCTGATCTAAATTTACCACTCACTTGAAATTGTGTCTCGCCTTCTGTTGTTCACAGGTTCCCAATCTGGACCCAGCTCAGAGAAACAAAGCCCCATGACCCAGAAACACAGCCCCCAGACCCAGCCCAGTCCTGTAGCCCAGCCAGGCCTAGGAGGCACCCAGTCAGGCCAAATGGCTCCTCAGCCAGGCCTAGCGTCCTTGCAACCATGTCAAACAGCGGCCCAACCTGGCCAAACACCAGCTCTAATTAACCAAATTGTGACAGGGCCTCCTGCACCAGCAGCCTCCCAGCCTGCGTCAGCTGGATCCCAGCAGAGCCCGGTCACCCAGCCCTCGGGCCTCCCCCCACAGCTCTACCTCCATGACGGCAGGTTAGACGACACAAAGAGGGATGCTCTTGTTTGGTGAGATCTTTAAATGTGTCTTAGCGACTTTTTAGACTAGAAGATAAAGGAGCAGGGTGTTTATAACAGTGAAAAATCAAGTGTTTGTGTGCCTGACTGTAAACCTGCGACTAATCCCGGTCAGGATCCTGCTCCCAGGCTAGCCCTGTTGCATAACACCACTTAGTGCCTACAGTGTCAGTGAATAATTTACCATACGGTATCTCGTCTATAATTCAGCAGCCCAGCGAACAGACTCTGTTACGTGTCAAAACTGTGAGCGTGTGAGTTCTGGCTTTGATAGGTTTGAGATGTCTAGAGTAGCACTCCCTTAGCTGTAGGTTTAGACACATTTTCCAAGTGAGAACTTGATAAAAGCCTTATCTTCTGTCTGCACAGGCTTAGAAACACTGTCCACTCTCTGCTGTAATACAACAAAAGGTGAGGTAGTGTTCACGAGGACTGTTGGGGCTATATTCTCTCTTTTTATAGGTCAGAGGTCAAAGCCAGGCAGGATGTTAAACCGGACTTCCGTCATCCTACGTTCACCGACTACAGGCAGCCTCCAGTTGACTACCGCCACCCACCGGTGACTGATTACCGCCAGCCGCCAACTCTGGACTACCGACACCCGCCCGGCCTGCTGGACTTCAGACAGCATCCTGCAGCAGCACAGTTTCCTTTGGGAATCCCTCCAGACTTCCGACCACAGGTAAAACCTGCAGCAAGAGCTGTCTGATTCTGTTAAACCAGCTCAGTGGCCTAGTGGTAGAGTGTCTGCCCTGAGACTGGGAGATCAGGGTTCAATTCCTGGTCGGGTCAGACCAAAGACTTAGAAAAAAATGGGACCCAATGCCTCCCTGCTTGACACTCAGCAAATAGGGGTTGGATTGGGGGGTTAAACCACCTAATGGCTCCCGAGCGTGGCTCTGTCTGCAGCTCACCGCTCCCCCAGCAGAGAACAAATTTTGCACACATATCCGTGTATGTGACAACTAATGGGACTTTAACTTTAAGGAATGAATATCTTTTTTTTGGGACAGATAAATTATTCATAATCGCTAATTTTGAGAATTTTAATTTGTTTTTTCATGTTGTTCTGCAGGACTATGATTATTTCACCGTGGAGTTGGAGAAAAGCACCAAAGGTTTTGGTTTTAGTATTCGTGGGGGCAGAGAATACAGCATGGACCTGTTTGTGCTGCGCCTCGCAGAGGACGGTCCTGCCATACGCAATGGAAGGATGAGGGTGAGCTCACGGCAAATAAAAGCACAATTTGCTGCTAGTAAAGTTTCTGTTTTAGTAAAAAATATGCAGTTTTTTATATTTGTCCTGCTGTTTCCATTTTTCACAAGATTTTTGTTTGGTTTTGCATCCTTTGCCACGAATAAGTAACAAGCAATTGACGGCCGGTTGTGCAAGAAAGCAGATGCTGAAAAAATTCCACCTTTTTCTGTGCTTGCGTCTCCCCCAGGTCGGGGATCAGATCATCGAGATTAACGGCGACAGCACTCGGGACATGACTCACGCCCGTGCTATTGAACTCATAAAGGCGGGAGGCAGGCGGGTCAGGCTGCTGCTGAAACGAGGCACTGGACAGGTGCCAGATTATGGTGGGTTTACCTGGAGCAAACAGAACTCGTCTGAATGGGTCAGCCTCTGGGCTGGTCCTTCTTTTATCACAGATTCACTGTTTAACCAGACCTATGCTCTCACACTGTGTCATTTTAACATTTTTTAGTATTTTTCTCTCTGCTTTTCTATTCTGTTTTATAACTATTCCTATCCAACTGTAAGCAGCTCAATAACAACCTGCTCCACAGCCTTCATGTATTGTAACCCCTCTGCTTTAAGCCTAATGATCGCTATAGGCTTTTACTTCCCTTCCCATAGGAATGGTACCGTCCAACCTCTCCATGTGCATGAAAGGTGACACACTAAGCTCCCCCTATTTCTTCTTAATGGGCCACTCTAAAGACACGGTTTGTGAAAAACTGCATGCCTTTCTCTCCATACTGATTAATCCTTGTGGTTTCTAGCTGCATGCTGGTGCTTGCTCCTTTCTGCATGAGCCAAACAGCAGGCTAGCCTGAACCTATGTGTGCTCTAGTAAGAGAACAGTGTGATTTGAAGAGACTCTAGATGAAGCTGCTTCATGCTGATGAGGATTGAAGTAGATGGCTTGCAAAATATGTGCTCAAAGCCATTCAAGGTCACACAAATGTAAATGTGGAATTTTGTGCACATTTGCATGCAACGCTGCCTGGTTTTAGGTTTGTAGTTTGTTTTTCTCTTTCATTCTGTTTGCGTGATGTTTGTCATTTTTTCATCTCAGTCCTCCTAAGTTCCTTTTTCTCTTTGTGACAGACTGTGCCGGCCCCTGGGATTCCCTTTCTACAACCCACTCTGCCCTGCAGGAAGTGACACTGGAACCTCATGTGAGTCCATTGCCCTCATCCCATCCAGCTTCAGCCCCAGACTCCCCTCATCGACTCCATCTGGAGGCCAAAGTGTGCGCGGCAGACAAAGCTCCACTGCTGCCAGACCACAGCTCTGTCAGAAGGGCCACAGGTGGCAGGTCCACCGAGCAAAAATGCATCATCAGGGGGCAGGGGGCCCCTCAGGGCTCTGGAGAGGTAAACCGTGGGCCTGGTGAAATGCAGCCTCGGGTGTTGCCTCCCAAAGCTGTGGTGGGCCGGTGTAATGAGAGGAGAGAGATTTGCTCCCCCTGCTGTGAGAGAAAGGGCCGACAAACGCAAGCGAGGAGCTCTGGCTCGCCGTGGGATCCGTATGTTATGGTGAATCTGAATGGAGCATCTCTGGAAGGAGGAGATGGACATGTGAGCCTACAGGAGAGGCTGATGTCCAGAAGTCCATTCACCAGAGAAGACGAAAAAAACAGTGGCCAAAGTGGGTTTCGCTGCCCTTTGAAAACCCTCGAAGATCCTCCTGCGAGGAGCGCAGCCGCCTTCCCGGGACCCTGGAACCTCCCCAGCTCTGACAAACTGCCTGGCACCTTAAGGTTCTACCTCCACGGCGAGCAGGTAGAATGGATCCTTTAGGTTTGGGCTGGATCTGAATTGGGTTCCACATTTGAAAAGCATCTCCGTTGGCCTCTGTGTCCTGTTTTCTTATCCATCTCTTGTTTCATTTAGACATTAGAGGATTTTTACACCCACCACCTTAAAGAACACAGGAACTCCAAAAGGATGAACCCAAAAGTGACCCTCACATTCAGAGCAAAAATCCCTCCTTTTTAAACATGGAGCATTGCACCTTTAACTACTCATCTGCATCTGGCTTAGACTGATTAATGCATCGCAGCTCAACGCTGCAAACACAGACTCATACAAGCGGTGGAGGCTGTGACACCGGAGTTCCACCTTAAGTCACAGCCCTACGTGCGTTAGCATTCCTATCAATATATTACATCCTGTAAATGTAAAGATGTGAAAATTATGTACATTTGGTAAACTCAAAAACACACCAATGTGGTGTTTTTGAGGCAGTGTTGTAGTTAGATTGTATAAAGTTTAAAGAAAAGAAAAGACAGAAAAACAGCCCTGGACAGAATTTCAGAGTCCCTGTTTCCATGGCCTTGTTCATAATAACATATCAGAGACCATCTCCAAACCTGGAACGCTGAACCTTCATCCTTCTGAGGAAGATCACCATGAGAAAATCATCCTTGACATTAAAACGAGCCAAACCAGATCATTTTTATCCTCATAACCTTCAAATGACAGAACAGGTGGCGTATTAAGAACTGGTGCTGCTCCTCTGAGTTACACACCTGATCAGTAGTCGACCATGCAGTCATTGTGCAGAGTTACGAGCCGCGTGTGTTCATTCAACGCTCAACAGGAAAACTTTGTCCAGTCTCCTATTTCTATGCCTTTTACTGTGCTAAAGTGTACCACATCACTGTGGGAGAGGGGGAGAGGAGGCGGAGGGTTATGAGCTGAGGCGGGAGTGCCTTACTCAAACTAATGCAGAGCTGATGTGATTTGTTTCTGGGAACCCGGCGATCATGCACTCGTCAGTAGACGGCCGAGTTGTGGGGCCCGTTCTTCTTCAGACGTAACGCCAAGCAGCACATAAACACCTCTGTGCACTCTGAGCTGCAACAGCTCTGGGTGCTACAGGAGGGGATAAAATGTAGCGTGTAGCATCACACCCTCTTAAATTAATGTAGAGCTTTGTTTTAAATGGACAAGGTAATTAGCAGAGTGGATCACAGTTACCTGACTTTTTAGTCTGATCTGTAAGGGAAGTTTGCCAGAGCTCACATTACCTGGATCCAAGGAGATCAGAGATACATAAAATCCCTAAAGTTTAGGTTTAATCACAAAATCGTGGACGTGGCTGAGGTTAAAGCGAGGTGCTATTAAAGCGAGGTGCTATTAAGCTGAGACACTTGTGAAGTAGAAGCTCTCCTGGCTGACATTTTGTTCCTCAAGCAAGATTAATAAGAAAAGGAATCCACCACTGGAGCATTTGGAGGACAAGATGATGCATTGTGACAATGTCTGCTGGTATCATGTGGAGTTTTGTTCTGGAACACTAAAACTAACTCAACACCAGGACTGACCTCAGAGAAACATGGTCTGGATGACTCCCAGCTGAGCGAACTGTGGTCCATGTGGAAAACCAGTAACCAGATCAGCGAAGAGCACGACGTCATGCCATTAGGCCGTAGAGATGCGTTTCCTGTATGTACAAATAATCAGCACCTAGAGAAGCTGAGAGAGCGCATCATCCAGCCCTCTGTCTCCATCCGGACCACAACCCCCCCCCCCCCCCCCCCCCCCCCCCCTGTGACTGGTTTTGTACACAAAAACAAACAAAAGAAAAATACCTGCTTCTTTGAACCTGTGAAGGAAGGCACATTCACACACCCCCATTGAGCTCAAGTATAACTGTGTAGTGTTTAATTGTGTAATATTCACCTTGTACAGCTGTATTCCTACAAATATGGTTTACTGTATCATTGATACTGTAGTTTCAAAGACGTGAACAACTATTTTTATGAAATGCGACAGTACTGATATATTACATTTTGCTAAAAAAAATGAATAAATAACTTGTTTACTGAAAGATATTCTGAAATACTGTCAAATAAACTCTTGACATAGTGTAAAATATCCTTTTGGAGACATTTATTTAATTTTTTCTCAAGAGTTTGGATGTTTAATCTTGTTAGTTTTAGCTTCTTGGGGGTTCATTTGGAAATATTTTGCTTTTACGTTTGAACTGTTGAATCCAAAGGCAAAAAAATTAAGAGTTCAGGATTTTTACAGCCTGACAAAAAGACAAGAGGAGCACAAATGAACAAAAATAGTAACCCAGAAGACACTTTGAAGGCCCTATAATGAGAATGGGCTCTCTTTAAATCCTTTAACAAAGATCTTTCGTGCCCAACTTATCAAAGGGATAAATGAAACAAAATGCTAAAAGATTCATCAGAACCACACAAAAACCTTCAAAGGCATAAAACACCCACACGTTTTTACTTCTTGTTTTTAGATAAAAGGTTCCGGGACATCGTCAGACTACATTACAAAATATAAACGTTCTGCTGCTCCAAATATGACATCAAAAGGCAAACTGTACACTAGCGTACCCGTGGGTGTAAAATGGACCAGCAGGTACCATCATACTCAGAGCTACAAATTTCCAGTGATTACAGCGATGATGATGATGATGGTCCATCACCCCAAAGCAGCTTTTAGAAAGTTGAAAAATGATAAAAGTTGGGCCACATTTTTAAATAAAACTTGTAAACATTTCAACAGCATTTTGGTGCCGTTATGGGTCTGGTGGAGTCGTCCTCTCGTTACTGATCCTCATTTTCAGCAGAAAGCAAAGCTTGACCATCCCCGTTCAGAGAAGCCTTCAGAAAAAATAAAGATTGACATTAGGGAAGGACTGCCTTTCAGGTGTGAAAAAAAAAACTGTTTAAAACGGGTACTGCATCTCCTACATTCAGACGTCTGTAGGCTCCCATTTGGAAACGACAGCAAATCGCATCGACGAAGAATCCCACCATCCCGTGCAACATTCCTGCAGAAGGAACAGAGATTCATACTAAATATGGGAGTGAGTGGATTATGGTAAATGGCCTGTACTTGTATAGCGCCTTCTTAGGGTTCTACAACCCTCCAAGGCACTTCATAACACAATCAGTCACACACACATTCACATGCTGGTGGGGTTGAGCTACGATGTAGCCACAGCTGCCCTAAGGCACACTGACAGAGGTGAGGTGAGCCAAACACTGGCGTCACAGGTCTCTCCGGCCACTACCAGCAGGCAGGGCAGGTTAAGTGTCTTGCCCAAGGACACAACAGCAGCATTCTCTGGTCGGAGCTGAGATCGAACCTGCAGCCTTCCGATTAGACAAACTGAAGGTATGCTTTCCTTTTTTTGGGTGGAAAACAGGTAGTGACTGAAAGAATGACATCACGGATACAAGCGGCCAAAATTAGCTTTCTCCACAGGGAGTCTGGGCTCTTCCTTAGAGATAGGATGAGATGCTCGGTCATCCGGGAGGGGCTCGGAGTAGATCCGCTGCTCCTCCACATCAAGAGGAGCCAGCTGAGGTGGCTCGGGCATCTGGTCAGGATGCCTCCTGGAAGCCTCACTGGTGAGGTTTTCCAGGCACGTCCAACTGGGAAAAGACCTAAAGGAAGACCCAGGACATGCTGGAGGGACTATGTCTGGCCAGGGAATGCCTTGGGATTCCCCCAGAAGAGCTGGCCCAAGTGGCTGTGGAGAGGGATGTCAGAGCCTCTCTGCTTAAGCTGCTGCCCCGCGACCCGACCCCCGATAAGATGAAAATGGATGGATGGACATTACAGAACTGATGAAGAATACAAAAAGCTTGATTTTTGTGTGTTTTATGTGCTAAATGACTTCATATTTAGAGATCCACCTAGGAAACCTGATAGCTGTACTTGATCTTTCTTAAGTAGATAAACAAAAATCTGAGATGTATTTTAACAACTCATTTCTGGGTTTTTCTATATTCTCCCCAGTTATGCTACATTACAGAGGACCATTCACTTAAAGGATAAAATGTCTTATTTACAACTGCATTAATTGATTTTTCTTTTTTTTTTTTGCTTGAAACGAATTAATAAAAATGCCCTACATGCATCAGATAAGTAAGAAAGCTGCCGTGAACTCGTAACAGTTCAGGAGCACCTAAAAATAAGATGTATCATGTTAAAGTTCCTTATTTTAAGGATAAGTGACATTAAACAAACAAGACTCCAACTTGACCAACTCAGCTTAAAAGGTTTAAGATTGATATTTTGATCTACATTAACTATTATCACAGCTCTACACCAATGAAATGTCATAAATACTGTGACTTTCTACAAAAATCTGTTGCATATTTATTCACCTGTTGTGGAGAAAATGCCTCCGACTATGCCACAGAGTCGGACGAGAAACTGCCAAAGAGGCATGTGTTGCTCGGTGACTTTGACCATTAATGAGCTGATATCATATTTCATAAAGATCCCTGAGACTCCGTGGCTGCCTGAAGCATGGTTTATCACTCGTTCCTGCAAAAAGACAGGAACACCAACATTAATCTCAGAGACAGTGAGTCAACCACACTGCTACACAGATACGAAGCATCTTTACGTACCCGCTCTGTGACAGAGTACTGATGGGTTTCTGCTGACACTTTGTAGGTATTCAGCTTGGTGGGAACGATGGTGATGAAGTACTGAAACATGTGGTTGGCTGTAGACAAGAATCCATTAACAAAAGATGAAAGAATAAAGAGATAACGTTACAGAAACATGGCAGACAGACTCACGCTCAGTGGTGACTTTCTCCGTACCATCCAGGGGGTTGATAAGTCCAGGAATGGCTTCTCCAAATGACAGGTGGTCAATCCGGTGGGAGAAGTTAAACGCTGGGACACAAGAACAAACCAAAATGTGGAAAATGAGCTGAATGCAAAATTACTACAACCGTCATGGTTTGGGTCAAAGATCCACTCACAGTCATGGCTGACTAGAGCAGCAAGATGAGCATGGCCTCGAGGGTGTGGGATGGATCTGTGCAGAAATTAGGTCAGCTCAGAACACACAAAAACATAACAAGAAAAAGTTTAGAGTGTTAAAATATAAAGTTATTAAGTGTAGGTACATACTTGCCAACAGTAATGTGGAAATTCCCTGCCACTTTGTTTACAAAAAGGTGTCCGTGTATCCTGCAGGCAGTAAGGGAGTTGGGAGTGTCCTCACTAAGACGAGAAAGACAACACAATCATGCTGAAAATTTCCAGGTTGAACAATACAGTCACATTTGTCACAGAGCAGCTAGAATAGTTCACCTTCGACTCTGAGAGGGAGGAACTTCTTTCATAGCAGATTTGAAGAGCACATCTTGCAGCGAGTGTTCCACTTTCAGACGCTCCTGCATGTGTAGCAGAGTCCTGAAAGAGAGGAATGAAAAACTAAAATTACTTCTCATTGCTCTCAGCAGGATGTGCAACACTGCTGGTCTTCATGGTAACTAGCTAACTAGTTTGAAAAATGCATCGATTAAACTTTGTAAAAGGAAATGACTTGGGAGTCTTACAAGTGCCACAGCCTTTGTTCTGGTAACAGCTCAAAGTTAACCTAAAAAGAAGAAAAATATATCAATATCATGTCAAACAAGAACAAAAATGCTTTGATGTTGCAAAAAAATAAAGGATGTTAATTCTTCATTGAGTATTATAGGCTCATACTCACTGGCTCATATTTTAAGCCATCAGAAGCGACCATAGTTTCTGCCAGATCAAGGACATCTGCACCAATATCTGCATTCAACAAAAATATATAGTTAAAACGTGAGTACCTTTTGTTTTTCTGAACTTTCTCAATACGTTCACAAATAACAGTTGTTGTAAATAGAACAATGAAACCCACTATTGGGCTTAGGTTTGGTATACAAGCTTTATTTGCTGCTGAATAGTATTAATAGTACATACATTTCTGAGCAATTTTTGATTAAATCAGAATGGCTTCTATCATGTTAATAACTCCGATACTTACACTGACATCTCATGGCCACTGTGATGTCCACATTCAACCTCAGTTTACTGTAAATAAAATATAAAAAAAAACAACTGTAGTTATAACACAACAAACCATCAAAGATCAGTAATACAAGTAAAAACATCTACCTGCTGAAGTCTTTGTCCACCTCATATTCATACTTCATCCAGGTGTTTCTGTACACGAAGAACTCCAGGAAGGCAAGGATAGCCATGAAAGTAAAAGCTATGAGAGATACTGGAGAGAGGGGAGAGCTTCTGGGTGAGAACATCTGCCTCTAGAGTTGGAAAACAGTTGTGTTAGCTAGCTAGGTGGTCTGTACCTGTCCCGCCGCTGGCCGTGGACTCCACATAGCTCTCAGGAACTTTGGGGAAAGCATCCAGCTCCTTTACTAGAGTCAGAGTCTTCTTCTTCGTCAGTCTCCTCATCCTGGGTCCAGCAGCAGAGGAGCAACGCCTTCATAAAGCGGCTACTATTACGTTCAGCTAACAGTTACCATGACAACTGCGTTAGAGCTAAAAGCTAACGTGTACCTCGCCAGCCGGTTTAAACGTGACTATGAACGACATTAAACGCCTATTTGAGTTCACATTAAGGTTTTCCTATTCACTCCAAGTCAGGAAGTCCGAGCACAAAGGAAGTTACCTGGGAAAAGCTGATTCGCTGCCGTGTTGTTCTTTGTTGTTTAACCCTTTCGTGTTCATTGGTAGTAAACTGATGTTAGCGGGTGTTGGCGCCACTTAGTGGTAGTTTATGGAATTTAGTCAAAAGATCCAGCAGTTTTGGTGTCGTTCATCGTGTAAAATAAATCTTATTCTATATTAAAATACACAAATACATCCGTTTTGTTTCGAGCATGTTTATGTGCAAACTCCCTGTCAGATTTAATATTCTTACCCTTGAATAGATTTTGCACGTGTAGTTTTAAAAAATACCCTTTTGTTGTGCACCATTGACCTAAGAGGGACATCTCTTTTGTTTAAACTGAAATAGGAGAATTAGCTGATTATTTTTCAATACCAATAAACACAATTTTCATTAATGTATTGGATTTTTTTAATCCAGTGCAGTAATTTGTGACAAAAGCATCTTATTGCAAACGTAGAATTGCATTTGCTAATAGATTTGTTTGTTGTGTGGTAAAGGTTCTATTAAATCTACACATTAAAGCTAAAATATAAAGATTTGAGTAGATGATTAAACACTTAAGGTTTTAAGAAACACTTTGTTTGTACTAGGTGTTTGAAGGCACCAACAGGAGCTTATAAAATATTAATAATAAATAAAATTAAATATATTTTAATGGGATCGGTAATATGACAATAGGCTTGAAGCTGTAAGTATGAAAGTTTGTGCATTTTAATCACATTATTAATAAAGAAAACACGTTTCTTATGTTACGTGTGCATGTTTAAAATCACATAATTACTGAACAATAATATTCACAATGAGAACAACAGATACATGGAGTTATTTTACAATTTCAAGTATTTTTGACATGATTTAGATGCTGCAGGCTTAATGGGATAAGTAACTGTGCCAAATGAGAGAAAAATCAGTTTTTTCCTACAGAGTTTGTAGAGTTTGTGATCTTTAACAGATTAATAACAAGATAACAACAATTACAGAGGCCCGTGCTCACTGAAATACACAGCATTACCTGCTGCTCAATGACTTACTTTGAAGCCGTTTCGAGTGACTAAAATCTTTTTTGCAAATTGTTCACTCTATTCCTCATGTACAGAGTCAGGACCCTCATCTTGCAGAACTCCTGTCTCTAAGACATCAGATGTTGGTGTGTCGGTAGGCTCCTGAGAGAGATCTTCTGAGCATCGGCTGACGGCGGGTGAAACCACATCGGGGCTTGTGTCACAGGAATCGGTGCTTTGCTCCGAGGTGGCCGCTGTGATTGTCGTGGCAAAACTTGGAGGTACTGGGTCAAATTCTTCATCATTATCATCATCATCCAAAATAGGTGACTCATGGACATCTGTCAAGTAAAAACCCGGATTTATTGAAATGGCTGTTGGAGATTTAGAAGAACAATGTTTTCTAAAAACTTTTCAACACAAACAAACTCCCTGTACCACCCGGAACTGCGCTGCTCTGTGTGGCTGCATGTTGGAGTAGCTCTGTTGACTATATGTAAGTTTTGCCTTTTCTTGGGCATTTTTTCTTCTAGTTTCTCAAGAAAAACTGTATTTTTTTGGACACTTTACTTTTCTGTTTCTGGTGCTGTGAAGCTTGGAGGATTTTTACAGCTATTTTTTAGCTTTTTTCACTTTTTGAGCTTTGTTATGATGTGTAACCATGGCAACACACTGTTTACATTCGGGAGCAGCTGATTAACATTGGAAAGGCTGAAATAATACCTCAACTGAAGCCACAAATCCCAAATGAGCTAAAACGCAAGAAGCGTGGGTGCAGAGCGGGAGCAAAATGGAGACAGAGAAAGAGGAAATTCAAACCATCTCCTCCATCAATCATAATGGGCAATGTGAGATCACTGGCCAACACGATGGAGGAACTCCAAGCCCTTTCAAGGACTCAGCCAGAGTTTCGGCAGTTTCGGAGCCACTGGAGGAGATAATGCAAAGAAGGAATCTCCAGAGAATCAAGAAAATTATGGACAACCCTGAGCATTCTCTTCACAAGACTGTCCGACAACAGAAGAGTGTCTTCAGCCAGAGGCTTCTTCAGTTTCGCTGCAACACTGACCGCTACTGGAGATCCTTCCTGCCAACAGCCATTGTAATATACAATAACTCTTTGATGACTTGATTATTATTATTATTCTGAGCTACTACAGCAATCAATTTCCCTCTGTGATTATGTTTATATTTATGTATTTAGCAGACGCTTTTGTCCAAAGCGACTTACAAGTGATAATCGGCATGTTGCCCTTGAGGCTAACAACAACAATAACAACAACTTGACATCAATCATGAAGAGGAAGGAACAAAGGAGTGGACAGTAGAGAGGGGGGACGGGTGCAGGGAAGGTGCTAGTTAAGAAGATGCTCTCTGAAGAGCAGGGTCTTCAGGAGTTTCTTGAAAATTGAAAAGCAAGCCCCTATTCTGGTAGTGCTTGGACAGCAGCTTCCTTTTCAATTTTCAAGAAACTCCTGAAGACCCCGCTCTTCAGAGAGCATCTTCTTAACTAGCACCTTCCCTGCACCCGTCCCCCCTCTCTACCATGATGATTAATAAAGTAGTTGTGAATTGAATAGAAATCAAATTAGTTTCAATGTTTGTAACAATACTGTTTTATTGTATTTAGAAATAAATAAATCTACTACTTGATGCCAGAAAAACACTTTTAAAAGGCCATAAAAGAAGTAAATAAAAACAGAAATGTTAATAATTTATGCAGGTAACACTTACTGATTTCATTGATTGAAATCAACAGACTAATGAACTCATTACAAGTTGAGAATTGTTTTGGATAATAAGCAAATGTTAACTTACTGCTGAAAGCATCAGGGTATTGTTTAGAAATCTTCCCTTTTAATGTCCTGGAGGAAACAAAAGGAGATCAGTTATTAGAGGTTGGGCTGTGCGTCCCTGTTTGTGCAGGCAGAGTAATGACTAACCTGATTCTTCTGAAGATGCTATCCAGATCCTTCTTCATCTCAACCAGGGTGCGGGTGTGGTGCAGGAAGCGCTCGTTCATCTGCTGCAGTCGCACGTTTGACAGTCCATTAAAGTTGATCAGCATTTCATTGGTTTTCTCAAAGCGATCGAGCCTGATGAAACAATGATTAGGCAGAAAATAACTATCATAATAGAAAAAAGGCAGAAACGTTACAACTGACATAAAAAAGCAACTCAAATTTTTACACACAGTGTAATCAGGCCTCACAGACAAGAACAGCCTGATACTCACATGTGTCTTTGAGCTTGGATGATGGCATTCACATCTTCAGAGTTAACCATGCTCAGGATCCTGTTACAGAACACACTGGAGGCTGTGGGCTCCACCATGACGACGAAAAACCTGCATTTTCATAAACGAAACAACACGCACCAAATCAGGCATGGCAATACTTAAAGTTCTCTACAAATATTACGAGAGAAAAATGTTGCAAATCCACTAATCCAAATAATCGGCTGTTTTATTCACATCCGAGCGGTTTTTCTGCGCTAAAGGTAATACTACGTGAAAAATAAAGGAATAATATTATCATTTACCTCAACAGGTGTTGTTATCAACCTTGGTTTTCAACAGAACACTACATTTGACAGGCAAATTAAACAAAAACAAAACACTTCCGTGTATTTCTGTTTCTTCTGTTTACATGACTGTTTCTGGTTCATTTTCTTCTTCGGCGGGTATCTTTCAACTTTTGCGACTCATTGCCGCCACCTGCTGTATAATGGTGCACACAACTGGTCATTTTCTGGCATTTTCTAACTCTTTCTGGGGGTGTTCTTGACTTTTCTAACCCCATTGAACTTTCTGGACTCTGGCCTTTTTTTTTTTTTTGTTATAAATCCATCCACCAACATATTACCATGAATTCGTTAAACAATTCATTTGAAATTGAGAGATATATTCAGTTATTTAGTCATCAAGTCAAGATGAATCTGTACAGTTCTATTTAACTTTATAAATACCAATTTAACATTTCATAAAACATGCTGATTTCCTCTTTTTGCCACATTTAGCTTTAACATTAATGTCCATTCTGCTTCTATCTTTGTTTTTGTTTTGTGTTTTTCCAACAAATCCGTAATTTTCAATTAGAAAATTCTCAAAAACATAAAACTGCTGAGCTGAGTTATTGAAAAGCTGTGATTGAAAAACAGATTTTGGTTGGCCTTCTAAGATTGAAAACGCCCTATATCCATTTCATATTAAATTTGTCTTGGGTTTTAAAAATGTAAAAACAAAAACAAATTTAAAAACTAAAATATCTTTATCTTTTTCCGGAATTGCGCCACTGTGGCTGCATATTGGAGTAGCTCTGTTGACTATATGTACGTTTTGCCTTTTCTTGGGCATTTTTTCTTCTAGTTTCTCAAGAAAAACTGTATTTTTTTGGACACTTTACTTTTCTGTTTCTGGTGCTGTGAAGCTTGGAGGATTTTTACTGCTATTTTTTTTTAGCTTTTTTCACTTTTTGAGCATTTGTTATGATGCGTAACCATGGCAACGAGCTGTTTACAATCAGGAGCAGCTGATTAACATGGGAAAGGCTGAAATAATACCTCAACTGAAGCCACAAATCCCAAATGAGCTAAAACGCAAGAAGCGTGGGTGCAGAGCGGGAGCAAAACGGAGACAGAGAAAGAGGAAATTCAAACCATCTCTTCCATCGATCATAATGGGCAATGTGAGATCACTGGCCAACACGATGGAGGAACTCCAAGCCCTTTCAAGGACTCAGCCAGGACTCCGCTAGAGGAGATAAAGCAAAGAAGGAATCTCCAGGAATCTCCAGAGAATCAAGAAAATGATGGACAACCCTGAGCATTCTCTTCACAAGACTGTCCGACAACGGAAGAGTGTCTTCAGTCAGAGGCTTCTTCAGTTTCACTGCAACACTGACCGCTACTGGAGATCCTTCCTGCCAACAGCCATTGTAATATACAATAACTCTTTGATGACTTGATTATTATTATTATCATTCTGAGCTACTACAGCAATCAATTTCCCTCTGGGATTAATGAAGTATTTTTGAATTGAATTGAAAAAGTAAAAATAATTTATTTTTTACATTCTAAATATCTAAAAGGAAAATTTTTGATTTGGACGATCTCAATGAATTATGAAAATAGATAATACATTGTTTAATTTACCCAAGAACATTAATAAATATCCATCTAAAACACTTAACCATATTGTATTATTATAAGGTGGGGATAACTTATAATTTTCAAATAAAACCCACTTACATATCACACTAAGAACAAAAAACTAAATTTGAAACTTTCTTCTTTATCGGGATTGTGATAAATTTGACCTTTTTAAAACTGCTAAAATCCAACCAGGTGTGTATTCTACACACACAAATTTATAATTTCTCGTCATATTATGTCCAGGTTTCCCTCCTCGATTCGGTTCCTTAATACACAAATAATGTCACAAATCCATACGTCCAGAAAACTCACAAAATTACTTTTATTAGGGGACAAGTAAAAAAAGTACATAATGTATAAAAAATACAAAACCGCTTTGTCTAACTTGTAAGCTAAATAAATGCATAGCAACAATACATGCAAGTCTATAGCTATGTACCCTACTGTATCCCACTACGCTAACGTTTATTTCCTTAAGCTACAAGATCAAAAAGAAGAAGTACAGTTTGTTTGCGATCTACCGGCTGTTACAGTCTACGTTGCAAAGTGATGATTTAGAATAAGTTGGGTTGCACGCAACTCAACTAGGTGAGCAAATAAATACTTAACATTTCACAAATATCGACAACCTGTAATTCCAAACAACGCAGAATTTAAAAGGATGCCTGAGCCAGCGAATCACATTCATGTTCTCAAAGATGAAAATTCATACGAACACTTCTAAACTGGGATACAAATAAATATGAAATAAATAAATAATGAAACCTGTGAGAGCCACATGACTCTAACCTTTATGTACAAATCCCACCCACAGCTCAAAATGACAATATTACATGTATGAAAGTTCATATTAGTGTTGAATTTTTTTTTTGCTTTTTTTTTTTTAGAATACCATAAACATACGTACAAATGACCAGGACAAGCATAAGTGTCCCTAAAAAACCTGCATTGATTTGACATTGGGTGAATTTCAATGTGCTTTGGCTTTTGTTTGATAAATAAAGTTCATATCAGGCTATACATCACAACACATTTGTGGTATATTAGAGGCAATGGCATAGAATTTCAGCTTAAAGACTTTTACCATAAAATGATCCAGAAATGATGAAAATGACTGATGTTCATATTGCTCAATGACTATAGACCGATTTTTTGTGTTTTGTTGTTGTACTTTGTGGTATTATTATTATGCAAAGACACTTTTATTTTAGCTTAGTACTTTTACATACAAAAATAAGTTAAAACTTCAGAGAAATGGACGGAAACATTAAAAAAAGAAGTAAAATTTACAATTTCTGTAAGGCCATGCATTTTGTTTGGGATGACCATGCATAAGATTATTTCATGCCTTTTGGATGAGTGGGGGTTTGCCATTCATGCAGAAATGCACTATGTGTTGCTGAGGCCACAATAAACAGTAGCTACTGTCCCTTGTTGTTCCTTAATACCAATCCAGAATTAACAATAGCACTGTCTGTAGCACACGTTTAAGGCTGGTGTTTTGTTTTTGTTTTTTTGCTGTTGAAACTGTGAATAGGCCTTACCTAAATGGGATCCACATACATTACTTGCACACAGACTGTGATACAGTCTACTAACACAAAAAAAATTAATCTTTTATAAGTGTGGACGTTATTGTGAAAGGACAGAAAAACACAGGGGCTACTGTACATGTCTGCTTTTTGGGGTGCCATTTGTAAAGTCAAACAGTATATCTTATCAGCAATAGTTTTGGGTTATTTTGCATATCATTATAGAAAAAAAATGGGAGTACATTTTTACCGTTATTCATAAATTTATAAACGTTAAAAATCTCAAATGAATATTTAGTCAGCAAGCTAAATATTTAATATAGACTCAAAAATAAACTAAATATTTAGGTCAGACCTAAATATTTAGTTTGTAAAATAAATATTTAATAATGATGTAAGTATTTATTTCACAAACTAAATCTTTAGGTCACACCAAAATGTTTAGTTTGTAAAATAAATATTGAATTTCATAACCAAATATTTAGCTAGAATCTAAATATTTATTTTGGAAAACAAATATTTATTTGGAGATAAATATTTAGTTTGTAAACTAAATATTTAGCTCTAAATAAAATATTTATTGTAGGGCTTTTCCTAAATATTTATTTTTGGAAAATAAATTTAATTTGGAGCTAAATATTTAGTTTGTAAACTAAATATTTATCTCCACATAAAATATTTAGTAAGTGAATAAAATATTTATTTTAGAAACAAAATATCTGGTTCAGACCTAAATATTTAGCTCTAAATTAAATATTTATTGTAGGGCTTTTCCTAAATATTTATTTTTGGAAAATAAATATTTAATTTGGAGCTAAATATTTAGTTTGTAAACTAAATATTTATCTCCACATAAAATATTTAGTAAGTGAATTAAATGTTAATTTTAGAAACAAAATATCTGGTTCAGACCAAAATATTTAGTTTTTAAAATACATATTTACCTCCAAATAAAATATTTAGCTTGCAATCTAAATATTTAGTTGGGAACTTTAACATTGATGAATGTATGAATAACATAGTGAAAATCAGATTTAGAAAAATGAACTCCCCTTTTTTCTCTTAAGATGCGCTAAATAACCCAAAATTCTGCTTTTAAATTAGCACTATTTTACTTTGCATATGGACCCCATAGTGCTCAGCCTATGTAAAGTTTCATTTGTTCCAAAACGGGATACGATCCACTTAAAAAAAAGGGGATAATTAACCCTATTCTTGTTATATTAATCTTAGTGTGAGTTCTTAGAAAATATCCACAGTGAGAATGGGAATCACCTGTGTGTTTGAAATCAATCAATCAAAGCTTTATTTATAAAGCGCCTTCCGCAACCCTGTCAGGAAGCCCAAAGCGCTGAAATGTAGAGTCATGGATTTCAAGTAGCACCTTTTTCTGTAAGTAAGTGGATGTATTGCGTTTTGGAATAAGAGCCTGAAAGTAATGTACAAGCAAGCCCGAGCTCCAGCATTTCTTCTATAGAAGATCAATAACACCACAGATAATGGTCCATAAAAACACAACATACAAACAATAATAATAATAATAATAATAATAATAATAATAATAATAAGAGACACAAGTTCATAAGTTATCATTTAACTGTTATAAACAATCTTCATGGAGAAGACTGAGAGATATTTAGCTGCTTTATGATTGAAGGCAATCTGAGGCGACTTCTTTCTGCAAGAGCACAGGAAACTCTAAAATTAAAATAAAGTAAAATTAAATTTAAAAAAGAAAAAACACAGCCCGAGATTTCTTCAGAGGTGTTGCCAAATAAGGGAGGGAGGGTTTCTGACTTCACCAGCTTCCCTCTTCAACCACCATGCTCCTGACTGGAGGCGTTGTCACAGTGACGCACAGCTCAGCAGGCTCTGCATTTTCCTCACCCGTAGGCGTCTCCTTCACTTCCTCTTCCAGCTGGGGCTTTTCCACCCCCACTTGGCTTTCGTCTACCTCGACCTCTTCCTCCTCGTCTTCTTCTTCTTCCTCCTCCTCTTCTTCCTCTTGCTGCTGCTGCTGCCGCTGCTTGTTACGGCAGCATGGTTTGAACAAATGGGGGTCAATAAGCACCTCCCCAAAGCGCCCCTTGTAGATTATTCCACAGCACACTTTTTGCCTGCAGAAAGCAAGACACAACAGACGTTTGACATGAGTGAAGAAAGTTTACATGACATTTTTTGCTAATTTAAAGTGAAATATAATGTTTTATATGACGTTTGATTATTAGAATTGAAACAACAGTGAGTCGGGAGTTTGCTGTTTTTGCTTGATGTATTGGAACAACTAAACATCTAAAATAAATTTCTGATGCATAACCGTTTTGGCTTTTTCCAACTTTTCCACTCATCTCGGATTGTTGGAAAGGTACCAAGTCATTAGATAAAAACAAACATTCACACCATTTTTAAACTAGGGGACTCTATTTAAAAAGTTATCTAATTAATCTGAGGTGTTGTAATTAATTAATCTAGATTAATCACATTTTTATCGTTCAAGATAATTTGCCCCAAAGGAATATATTATTTTTAAACATAATGACAGATGACATACCCACACTTTAATGAGTACATTTCTGTAACCACAAGGTCTGTTAGATTACTTAGGTCTCATTGAAAAGGTAACCATTTTGGGATTTGATGGGATAAGTGTGTGTGTGTATATATATATATATATATATATATATATATATATATATATATATATATATATATATATATATATATATATATATATAGATAGATAGATAGATAGATAGATAGATAGATAGAACATAAACACGAGCACTAGGTGGCAGCAGAGAGAGAGAGAGAGAGAGAGAGAGAGAGAGAGAGAGGAGAGAGAGAGAGAGAGAGAGAGAGAGAGAGAGAGAGAGAGAGAGAGAGAGAGAGAGAGAGAGAGAGAGAGAGAGAGAGAAGAGAGAGAGAGGGGGTAGTGTAGAATTCAGGGGAAGTTCTGCTGATGGTCATAAGATGGAAGCTGTGTCTGCTTGTTCTTGCTGCAGTAATAAAGTTTATATGGATAAAGGTACTGCCTGCCTGCTTTCTACCAAATAGAAAACATCTTTGTTTTCTTCATGAAGAGCAATTTGTCATGATTTATTTATTGTAGTTGTGTTTGAAGCACATAAAAGGTTTATATGGTCTTGTAGCCCAGGCATTGCTGTTTTTAGAGGTTTAGCTTGATATTTATTGATTTATAGAGCATACATTTTAATGTTAATTTTTCCGACCCCTGCTCAGGCAGAAATTTTTTATTCTAAATAATTGATTGTTATATTCCCACCCCTAGTTAAAAAATAAATGATATTACTTTAAAGCTAGAACATAAAGCTGACAAATATTTTGGTTATTTGAGCATTTATTTGGATAAAATCTAAAGCAGTAAAATAATAATTTATAAAAGTGACATTGTTGTTGAATAATTTGATAATGACATATGACATGTCTATTCTGTTGTTTGGGAAGAGGTCAATATGGATAAATGTGAGACTAAACTTCTCGAATGCATGGTCAAAGCTCTTGTCTCATTAAAGTATTAGAAGATGTTTCAACCTGACAGGAGCCACAGAGTAAACAGGAAACTCAATCATAATAAGGATGATGTGGGTTGAAGACATGCTCATGTCCCACCTCTTCCAGTAAGTCAGGTCCAGAAATGAGAAAACGGGAGAGCGGCTGGATCCTGGGCTCAGCTCGGAGTCGGACCCGTCATCTGAGAGGTTGCTGTAGCTAGGAGACTGAGCAGGAGAGGCACTGGAAGTCGTGCTGTGGGCATCTGAGTCTGGTGAGCAGAATCAAAAAGGGAAAAGTTTTGTTATTCATAAATAAATATACTATATCAGTGCATGGTACCAAAAAGCAGAACTAACTGTTTCTTTTGAGCTCTTTCTGCAGCCTGCTGATCTGGCTCGGCCGTGCTTTCTTAGAGATGGATTTGATCTTTTTGGGTCTGGAGGTCATCCTCAGGCTAGGCCCTCCTCTGGCATCAACAACCTGCAAATACGCAGAGAATTTGTTTTAAAAACACAATTATTTCTCACAATTAAATCTGATCTTGATTATAGAGTAAAAACCCACATGGTTCCAGTTCTTCTTGGTTCCGACTGGAAGCTTTTTCCACCGCTTCACAAGAAGCACGCAGGCGTTGCAGATTTCTCCAGATCTTGTTTCGCTCAACCTGTGAGACAATTTGTTACAGGAGGGACTTTACAGTCTTCCCAATTGAAAATTGGCTCAAAAGCATTCAGGTGTGACTTCTTACTCAAAACAACTCCTGAAGTCCTTCTCATACCGCTTGCTGTCTGTGAAACGAGAGCTGGAGGACTTTGCTCGGCAGATGCAGCAACCGTCCAAACTCCTGTACATTTTGGGCTTGTGAAAGCCAAACATCTGCATGCATAGATGAAAATGTTAAAACCTTACAGACCTTTAAGCTGCAGCACGCTGTTACATCAGAACAGAGGTGGATAATGACATCAAGTGTTTTCTGTTTAAAATCAGTCATGACGAATGTATTTAAACGGTGTAGTCATCAGCAACACACACAGCAGACGTTCGAGCATCTCTGCATACCCACATGGTGGAAGTAGGTCAACAGTCAGACAGCGTGTCAGACATAATGTCACCATGCCGCGCTCGCAGGGATTCGCGCTGCGTTTTGGAATCTCGTTGCGCACATTTACTCCGAGCCCGCAGTCTGCAGGACGCGCTGCAAAGCGCCTAAACACAAATTTAATCATCTTTTATTCTGAGCAAAAAAGGGAAAATCAAATCGTGTCTGCAGCAGAGTCGAGCTGCTAAACGCGTGCATTATGCAGAACAAGTGTAATTTATGTTGCTAGGCAAACTATAAGCACATGTGGACCTTAACTGCGGCAAAAACTGCGAGCCGCGCCCCCCAGACTGGATTTTTTTTTTTTTTTTTTTTTTTTTTTTTGCCATCAGTCCTTGGGGTCTTCCGACAGCTCGCTGCCTCAGAGAGCCTTCGGAGAGCAGACAAAAATAAAAGACCTATCACTCTGATATTCATCTGACAAAACCTAAAGTTTCTCATTATGTATCAAAACGATAATGTTTTTCTAGTGTCTAATCAGGAATGAAATGCAGTCTGCAGCCGTTCATGCCAGAATTTTTAACTAGAAATAAACTGAGTTAGTTATTTTGGACAAGTAATAATTATCCCATTCCAAAAATTTGGCACACGGGGTAGCCTATTTGTTGTGAACTACTATACTACCAAATGAAATATTTGAAATTCTGCAAAATCTAAAGAAAAAAAAAGCTGTGGACTGTTATTTCTGTTGAGGTTGATCAGGTGGTCATCTCTAATTGGGCTGATCTGGTTGGTGGTGTATATCCAAAAATCACTATCTTGGTATAAATCTGAAGTTCATTAGACATGTTTGACAACACACTCAGAGGTAAAACATTATTACGATAACTTAGCAATAGTAAAAAATATTTTTCTGACTTAAATTAGTTTCTGAATGATTATGACAACAAAATAATTGTAAAAGAAAAAAGGGAGAAGCTATTTAAATGTTCAATAATGTGTAAACTTCATTTTGCAAATGGTTGCAAAAACGTTATTTAAATCCATTAAATTTTTACAAAAAATAAATCCACCAATCACTTGATGATTCAACTAATTTACAGCAATAAATCCCACATTCAAATTCAATTCAATGATACTTTATTAATCCCAGAGGGAAATTAGAGACATGCGTCTACCCAACCGTTTTAACCTCCGCGTGAGTCTCCTGCACGCTACACACGATCTCCGCAGCAAAATACAGTACGTGACGCAACTCAACATGGCAACACACTTCAAAGGCGGAGGCACTGAGGAGAAGGGGGTGTGATGCGATTTTCCGCAAAAGCTGCAACATTTAAAACTAAACTGTCGAAAATCACGCATAAAGCCGTCGGGCGTGCTTGGAAAATACGTGCGCGCTGCGTAAAACCAAACGGGACGTTATTTTTTGTAGAGAGAAAATAAAAAGTGCAAGTCGCTCATTTTCACCGCCCACTCCAGAGAGGAAGCATGGCATGCCACACGATCTGCTTCATGCGCACCCATTTTATGATGACCGTCCTCTGTTCGACGATGCCCGACTTCCCCTCATGTTAAACTTCAGCTGACACCAAAAACCGGGGCTTAAAATTCATTTAAATTATCCCATTTGGAGCAGTTTGATGCGGGTGTTTAGCTATAATCGTGTAATTTGATCTTTTATTCTGTTATTCCACAGCAACATTCAACTACATGTGCGCGAAGTTCAAAGCGACAGCCCGCGTCAAAAGTCGATTTTTATTCCACTTTCCGACACTAAACGTCATATTTGAGCCAGTTTGAATCCAATTAAGCTTTCAGAAGTACTTTGTATGTGCAGGGTGCGTTTTGTTGACAGCAACACGCGCGTGTCGACGCCGATGGTCGGGATGCATCTCTTAAATCCGGGTGGGCGTGAGACGTACACTAACCCTAACGTGAATGATCCTCTTAACACATTTTACACCATTAGAACGACCGGGCGTGCTTCAGTTAAATTAAATGATCCGTATAAATGAGCGCTTTCCTCACGCAGCCGTAACAACAACAACAGCCTCCTGCTGACACCATTTACACACACATACACCACGAGCTCTCCCTCTTTTCCTACTTTGCCGCATAACATTAAGTTGATTAAAATCGGACCCAAACACGACCACGAAGACGGTCCAGCTGCAGGCCTGAAAATAGAGCAATTGTTTGACCCCAAGCTGTTTTTAACGACACATCCGAAAGCTCAGACAGGACTTTAAAACCCGCACAAAACGCGTTAAACCACCGCAAACCGACTGCTGTGCTTACCTTGTCGCCAGGTCCGTGAATCTGGTAGGAAATAATAATAATCCCTGTAGAGGCTCGTTCCGATGGGGACTGTAAAGAAAACGAACCCGCATCAGTAAAACCCGCTTCTCTTGTTGATGTCTGCGTTTGAGGACGGGACTGAGTAGTTGTGGAGCTAACGCGCATGCGTCACATCCACACCTCCTTTTCAGAGCGGAGGGATTTTTCTTTTTTCTATTTCTTCAATCAAACTATTTACATAAACGACACGTGACGTTTGCGTGCGTCTGTTCTCCGTTGGCCTTATAAGGATGGGAATATTACGCGGGAATAGGGGGCTCGGCTCCGGTTGCTATGGCAGATTGGAGAATGTAAGCAAAGGGGCGGGGCCTGCTGTTTTACTACTCAACGCCAGACGGCTCGTCTATGGAGGCCTGCAGTGTTTTGGGGGGCGTTTTGTTGACGGATGGGCACGAAAACAACCAGATTAGTGTGAAGTAAAAGGTGGGTGAAATGCTGCATTTTAAAAAATGTCTCATAATTAAATTGTTCTTGTGATTTAAATATAAAATCGGTTATTATCGTCTGTGTTCCTGTTACTAACCCTTATGAAAAATTATGAAAAGGAATGCCTTTTATGAATAAACTCTATGTTGAATTTTAAAAATAGTAATTTTAAATTACTACATCTGATTGAAGATTAAAAAGTAAAATAATTAAATTAACTATATTTCAGAAACCCATTGTGGAATATCCAGAGAAAGACGTTATCTGAAAAATGCAGTGGATCCAAAAACAGCAGCATCAGCAGCAGTTTGCTCTTGAATTGATCTATTTATAGGACAGCAGCTTGTTTACCAGCTTTACTGACCACTGTAAATAATGTATTTACACTTCTGAATTTATTTTGTTGAATTTTTGTAAATATTTTTTCAAGTGTACGTGACTGACTACTGACTTTAATTTGATTATTTATTTGCATTCTCAAAGCAAATATGCAACAAGCATTATTGCATGAATTATGTATTTAATTATTGCAGGTTTGCTTGTTTTTTCCTTCTAGCTGTGAAGAAAACATGGAATGAGCAAAAACAGAAAAGCTGTAGATGACAGAAGGTGTCAGAACAGAAAAGTGAAGTTGCTAATACATAAAAACAGGCAGAAGCAGGACTGATTTGTAAGAAATGGGCTAATGGAAAAATAATTACATACAGAACACAAATATTAAACCACCATTACACCAAAACGGAAGAAAACCAGGTTGGTGTGCTGAAGAAAACCAGCCATGGACTCCAGATAAATTCAATTAAATAATATTGTTCAGTAATGAATAATAAATCAGCACAGTGGAAAAGAAACGAAAGATAGGTTTGGGTTTTTTTTTTTGCAAAAAAACATGAAGCTAAATCTAAAATTGAACATCAAAAATTTGCTAACTATATTTCTCTGTCAAAACATGTGTATGGTGTAAGCTAATGTAAGATAATTCACTTTGCTACAAAATGTGATTGATGAAATGCTGAAGTCCCAAATATAATCATTAAAGTGACTTTGTGCATTTTCCCTGGCGACAGGGGGCAGTACATACCTAGATCACTGTGAGCAAGCCATATGTTTGTGTTCGAGTAAGACCTTACCAATGGATGGCTATTAGGGTCAAAAATCCCTGGCAGTGCAATTTTTGAAAGAGTACTTTGTCAGATTGTTCAACCTCCAGCAAAATGGCAACGTCTGACTCCCTTTCATCACTGACAACAAGTGAAGAGGTAATTGTGTAAAACAGCATTTATGAATGGTGAAAGTTTTGTAACCGTTTGTTACAAATCAGTAAATGCGTTTTGTCCTTCGTAGAAGGAAACATGGCATCTAATACGGTGTTGTCCAGAGACTAAGGGTGTTTGTCAATGTCAAGGAACCTTGCCTTGTTGTCTTGGTCCGGCCTCGGTTGCCCAGGAGATGCAGGAACCGCCAAGGTGTGTTACAGTGTCCATGTGCTACCAAAGCGTCTGTTCTCCGTTTGTTAGCTCTTTAGCTAGCTGAGCAAGAATACACAGGAGATGCTTTGTAGCATGGCCTTGGTCAGAAAGTTCCCAGAATACAGCGCAGTATTTTCAAAAGAATGGTTGATCAGGAGCCAGTAGCTTTGGAGGAAATTTTTCTGTTTAAATGTAAGTCAACTAATTGTAGCTATCGGGCTGATATCTGAATTTTTTATTCAGATCCAAAGCAGTTGTCTATGGTTGGTTAGTTGCTTAGCAGTTGCAGCTTCTGTGGCTAACAGATACTAACTCGCTTACATATTTAATTTAACAAATACACACAATTGAAAAAAAGGGGGTGTGATTAACTTCCGCACTTGAAAATCAAGACACTCTACGCACTCGCACCCCTTGTTGGGATTGCGCAATTGAAGGGCACAAGTGTGGAAGTGCAAGTATTGGGATTTAGACCTGCTCCCATGTAGGTTAAATCTGATATCTATGGTTATATGTTATGAAGCTGTCAATATTTTTTAACAGCTGGGCATCATTTCATTAATTTTCAACAATATTTTGATGGATGTTTGCAGACATTGACGGTAAAAACTACACATTGTCTCTTTAAGTGAACTTTTAGCAGTAACTGCAAAAATTAGCATCAGTCAATAAAAACAATACAAACAAGTCAGATGTGTCAATAACTTTAATTTTCAACAACACACTTCATAAATACCTCATTATTGCTTTCTCTAATGTGTATTGAAACAACTGCTCATAGTAGGGTACATAGTGCTTGCAGTATAGTGCAGAAGACAGCATTTTCATAACTCTTAAATTAAACCCAACATAATACTTTTGCATGTTTATGAACCTGTGCTATTTTCACCTTTTGCAGTCGAGCAAAGAATACACTTTTAGAAACCAACAGCCTGTCTGTCTTCCACTCCAGAAAGTGTGACCAATGAGGATCACAGAAGCTAAGATGACGCCTTTATACAGAAAAAGAAACATTTACAACAGAGTCATTACACCGCATCAACAACTGGAAACAATTCAAGTGGAAGGATGGAGAATTTCTCTGCAATACTGAGTGAAGCAGAAATATCTACAAGAAAAAAGGGGTAAAAGGAATTCTGACTAAACGATCATACTGAACGGACAAAATGAGTTTTCGTGCAGAAAGGGACCTTAAACTGAAAATAAACAACATGAAAGCAGGCCAGATGTTACACAGGATATCATCAGCTCAATGCAACCTTCTCATGTTTAAATTATAGAATTTGATCATTTTTTTAATTAAATATATTTATTATAACACCAAAAACAGGAGGTTGATAAGGCCTGAGATATGACAGTTTAGACTACAACACCAAAAGTAATAAAAACAAATATTCTGGCCATGCATGTTGGAACTTTGGGTGTAAGCAGAAGGATAGTTACAGCTGTTTAAAGGTGGATACAGCAGGAACAACATTTACTTTCAATGTGGGATTATCAGTAACTTTTTCACCTTGAGGAAACAGGATTTCACAGTGTAAACAAATGCAGGACTACTTCCTGAAGCAAATACAGTAAATAAGACATTTACATCAGTGAAGAAGGCAAAATATTTGTTGCTTGAGTGGCAGGTGTCTCCATCTTCTTCACCGGCCCTTTTTAATGATTCAGTCCTCCTAGCTAGAAAGATGAATGTTTCAGTTCATCCGCATGTGTCTTAGAGCCTGGTAGTGTCAGAGGTCAACACCTTTAACCAGCGCCGCCTCCAGGGTGATGCAGAACTCGTTAAGTGTTTGAAGAATTCGACAGAGGGAGCGGACAGCAGCACGGTCCCGCAGCAGAGCGCCGTCCTCGTACGTCCGGGACGTCAGAGGGCACTCTGCCAGCAGGGGGAACCACTGGGACAGGAGTCGGTCCCTACAGAAAGAAATAAACACTGACTGATGAAACCAGTCCCAGCAGCTGGAAGCATGCAAAAAAAGATTTAAATATTATGTTAACTTTTAAAATGATGCAAAAAAATCTAGAGTGATTTTCTTTTTCTACAAATGGTCAGTTTTTACTTAATGTCACCAATACTTTAAAAATACCTCAGATCATTCAACTCAGTAAAAAGTGATGTCCCGCTTAAATAAAACTATTGACAATTATTATTATCTATATAATAATATATATTATCTATATAATAATATATATTATTGTTATCAAGAACAAACTTTATTAAAATAGTTGGTCAAGCTGTTGGAGGTTTTATTTCTATAGCCGTTAAAATCTAACTTTTTAAAACGACTCTGCTCACCTTATTCCCAGGCAGACAAACAGCTGGAACTTCCCCTCTTTTCCAATGTTCCGGGGTGAAGTAGTGATGGCGTTCATGTAGTGGCACAGCAAGTCCCAAGGTGGACTTTTAGTTAGCGTTGACCCATGCAGGTCCCCCATCTGATTGCTTGTCTCCATGGAAACCATTGCTTTCTCTACAGGGAAAGAGTCGGCGGTACCATCAGTCAGATGTGCACAGCTTTAAATGAAACAGTCACACTGACCACCACTAGATGGAGACAGGAAATAAGTCACACCACACACATAACACGCGCACCTGCTGTACTCACCTACAAAATCCCAAACAAACACATTCCTCTGGAAAAGACGGTTGGATTTAAACCCGTGGAGGAGAAACTTCTCCAAAGCAAGCACCAGTCCTCCTTCACCACACAGCAGGACGGTCAGGTTACCCCTCTGGGATGACACATGTGAGAGAGGTAAGAGTAAGTGGTGTGAAAAGGACTAAAACCTACTCTTGTTCATGATAATATAAAGGAATGTGTGTTTGTACAGGAACATTTTCAAATGCGTTCAACTATTTGTAGTGTTATTAGTGTGATTAATGGAGTTGAACTATCACTCTCTCCCTCTCTCTCTCACACACACACACACACACACACACACACATACACACACTTGAGAGCTGGAGGAGCTGAGGTAGTGAATTGTGTCAGAGAGAAATGTGACACATGCAGGATTGTTCCTGCAAACATTCTCCATAGTGAATAGAAATAGTTATCCCTTCAGCCAACAAGTTAAATGAAAGCAGCTATCGCAGTTGCACACCTCCTGTTCGGGTTTGTGGAAATATTTAACCAGGTTATTTGCCGCCTCCCTCAGGTCCTCTTGTACTTCCACGGAGTTTGTCCCTAAAAAGACAAAAGAGAACGAGTGGATGATACCACCGTGTCATCTGTCACTGTGATGAACTGACAGACAAGTAGGTCAGCGATTGTGCTAAGGAATGCGCTCTTTGTCAGCACGTACTGCTTCGGCTGCCAAGTGATCCCAACACTGCCCGCACACTTTGGGATGGAGACGTCAGCTCCGGAGGGGTTCCTGTGCACCTCCCAGAATCCTCCTCAGCTCCGGGCGACACCAGCTGACCAATGAGGACTCTCTCTAAGCTGCCGTCACCTACGCCTTTCCCCAGCCATCGGCCACATGGAAACCTGAGGACAAAGATTGAATTTATTGAGACAATCTTCTTTTCATAAAGTAATTTTTGACACAATGAAGCTTCACACGTGAGAAAGCAGCTCTCGCTTTGGGAGGCTGAACCGGAGTCAGTTGTCAATTAGCAGGTGCTTGCAAACTCTGCAGACCAGCAGAGCATTAGCCTTACTTGTAGGTGTGTCCCGTGATCTCATTGTACACCATCACGCAGTCGATCAAGCATTTGGCAAGCAAGCCCGAGTTCTCGTGCACTCCCAGCTGCAGGGTGCTCAGCCTGCCGAGGTTCTTACACTGAAACGAGACGGAAAACCCACAGTGAGTCGGCTCAGCTGGTCGGGCTAGTTCCAGGATCATACGGAATCACCTGCACAAGTTTATCTTCTGTGAATGATTTCCCTTTTACAAACATCAATTCACTTGTTAGGATTATTTTAAACCATTACTAAGAATGCACAAACTGAAAAGATGAAAGCACTTCTGGAAAAAAATAAAATAAAACGTGAAACATTAGAAATCTGTCATAGATTTTTTTGTCTTAATGTGACTACTTTTTCAAAGGGCACAAATACAAACCTGGAAAAAGATTTCTTGTGAGTTCTTTGGGATCTGTCTAACTCCTGAATCACCCAGCTCTCCTGACACGCACACCCAGGGATTAACCGTTGCCATGGCAATGCTCAGCTTCTTCATGGGTATTATAACAACCCGGTATGGAATACCTGGGAAGACAAAAGAAATTAGGCACCTGTGTGTTCCAGCTTCTCTCACAACTTCAGCAAACGTTTACAGCTCTGGTTTCACATTGTTGTCTAGAAGGTTTGTGTGACTCAGATGCGCTCAAAGGCACCAGCTGGGTGGGATGAAATTCTCTCTGAGCCTCCACAAAAGCTACACGACAGCCATAAAAACATCAGCCACCCTGCTGGGGGGGTTGCAGGACTCACTGATGGAGGTGAAGGTGCGTGTAAAACAGAGGTAGTCCACGGTGTTCAGAGAGAGCAAGTGGAACAAGAACTGCTCCCGTTCCTCTTCACACAGCAGGAACGCGTGAGGTTTATACAGCTGCCTGTTGGAGAAGAACCGGAGAGCAACAATTCTGTCAAACAAGCTACAATTAAATAATTAAATCTACTAATCAGGGATGTCCAATGTGATTGGCCGATGCATTAAGGTGTAATATTGTAAATTATCTGTAGCAACTGCACCGCACGGCAGAAGCTCCTTCAGGCTCGTGTTATTTGTGGAGATAAAACATCAACTTTGCAGCACAAACAGAGTCGTGGTAGAGTTGTGTTGCTGTTAGCCAATCAGAAGCGAGATGCCCAAATATCAGGAAATAAGTCTGAAGCTACTTTCTCCTCTGGCTGAATTTGTGCTGAAAAAGGCACACTAGTGCTCCCCTCCCATATTAAAAATATGAGTGAAGGACCCCTAAGTATGCATGGGAGGAGATGTGATGTTAGTTAGCTAAAATGAGGAGTGACCACACTTATGTTGGTATCGGATATCGGTTAAAAAAAAAGAAGAATAAAACACATCGAACATCCCTAGTTCTAATTAACAGAGAGGATTTGGACCTAAGAAGCTCCTGGTTCCTCAGCAGCTCTTTGAGATGCTGAGTCAGCATTTTCTTCTCCAGAGCCAAATGGATCCAAGCTCTGGCCTGAGCCACTTCAGACAGATCGTCTCTCATGGTTTGGATAAACCTGAGAAAAAACAACATACAGTCAGACACAATGTGTCTGAAAGTAAATGTCTAAAACAATCAGCTTGAGCAGTCGTTATCAAATTATGTATTTTTCTGTCTTTAAACTATGTTTAATCCCATAATAAATGTTGATATGCTTGTCTTCAATTTAAAAGGATCTTTGCTCTTGTTACCTCATGTCCTGCATTAAAAAGCCCCTCAGGAGCAACGCGCCATCCTCAAGCACCCTCTGGTCCAAACAGATTGATCCTAAACAGGAAGAGAGTTGACCTCATTAATGTACTCTCCCACACACAAACTTTAACCACTTAGATCTTCTCACACCTGCTACATCAACTGGTGCCTCCATCTTCTCCTGGGCGGCCTGGTAGTGAAGCAGATGAGACCAAAGTGCGGACTTTCCCTGTTCATAGCAAACAAATTCATCATGATCAAACCTCAGCAAGAGAACGTGCATTTCCAGAGGTTTATTTAGGACATCTGACCTGTTTCAACTGCAGACCGTGGCCCCAGGTTCTCTCCAACAGATCACACAGACCGTGGATAAGTGTGTTTTCCTGCAGGCCCGTGATGCTGGCTTCTCCTTGACCCAACTCCACACACTCCTTCCCCATCCTTTCCATCAACATCCTCTTGGTCTATAAATAAAAGGCGGGGTTAAAATTGCTGCATTATTCTCGAGTTGCTATGATAAAATATTCAACGATGGCTGTGCTCGCCTTCAGGCGACACTCGCTCAACAGCCCATCGACAAACTCTCTGTGAGTCTGAGAGATGACTCGAGGAGACGGGTCGAGTAGTTTAGACTGGCGAATGGTTCTTCTTGAGAATGCGTGTCTCTGTTGGTAAAAAGAAAGGTTATACAGGTCATGCATAACATATAAAACCTGTGTGTGTGTGTGTGGGGGGGGGGGGGGGGGGGGGTACCTGTTTGGGTTCACCATCCACTCCTGGGGGATTAGTGACTATTGATCTCTTGGGTTCAGACCTGTGTGAAGCTGTGACACGACTGGACCACCTAGATGACACATCAGATACAAATGAACTATTTAAAACATTTTAAATCATGGATGCATGTCTGTATTTAAATGTGTGTTTCTGTTAGTATTTAAACATCTGTTTTCATTTGTTCATTTCATTGTTTTTCATTTTATGCAAACCAAACAATCAGTGTATGTTCTGTAGAAAGGCTGGGAAGCTGTATGTTTTCTCACAGACTGGCAGCAGAAACCAAAGGCTCACTTGTGGCTGTTGTGCGCTTGTAAAAGCACATCCGCCTGCAGCTTAGGGAAGTAACCTGGATGGTGGCGACCCTGGCCGATCCTCATGTCCAGCAGGTGGGGGTGTAATGCCGTGTGGTCCGTCTTAGACAGGCGGCGCTCCACCATCTGAGCTGTGGAGAAACAGACACGTAATATTTCAGTACCTGCTGCAGGTAAATGTGAGACATCAGCAGGACACCAAAGACACATCTACAAGTTTTAAGCTGCTGCTGCTAACGCACGTGGTAAAAGAGCACAGTCCTAATACCTGACTCCGAGAGCGTGGTGCATTTCCTGTAAGGACGGCTGCGTGAATCCTCATCGCTCATGTCATACAGTCGCTCCTGTTCCAAACGGCTGTCAAACAGCTGCTGCAGTGGTTCCCTGTCCACCCAGCGGGATATGATCTTCCCATCCACAAAGGAAGAAAACATGGACGTCTCCAGAAACCGGGACAAAAACTGTAAATGGGCCGCCGGCTGAATCGAGAGGAAGGAACCCTGAAAAAAGCAGGTTAACGCAACCAGATGGGTTATCTCAAGGGCAAACAAACATGTATGTTTCGGTTTTATCAAATAGGTCAGTAATCAGAAGAGTTACCTTATCAAAGCTACAGGATCCATCTCTGTTGCTCAACCAGGAGTCCAAATCTGGAGCGCTGTGGACAATAAAGTCCTCATAGCTGCCAAAAATGGCTGTAAAACGATCGGCAAACACCTCCCTCAGCTGAATATTCAGCTTGGCACTCTTCAGCTCCTCCTCCTCCTCCTCAAACACATGCTCCAATGTCTTCCCTCCTTCCGAGCCTTTTTTTCCTCCGCACCTCTTCGCCAGAGCCTGAAGCCTCTCCAGAACGGCCAGCTCCTCTCCCCCGAGGTTCCCGTTCTGTCTGTCCTCCATCAGGTCCTCCAACACCAGGCTGCTCAGGCGAGGGGAGCTAGAGGTGGTGGTCGTGGTGGGATTAGTGGTTACCCCTCCCTGAGGTGGGAGTCCAAAATTCAACAGCACCTCACTCAGTTCCTGAATCAACTCAGTCTGATCTGGGAACGGGGGAAGGTCCTCGGGGGCTTCCACACAGTGGTTGTCAATGTCCACAAAACACAAATTAGCCTGCAGAAAAAAAATAAAGAGCATTTTTGTCTCTCGGCTCCACGATCAGCTTAAGCGGTTTAACCAATCTGATTTATTTCATGCAGATAAGGTGGCTGAGCTCCAATTAAGCTGTTGGACCGAGGCTTCCATTATCACCTCCTTTGAATTTCACCGTGATAAGTGCTCACAGGGTTTTATCAGATCAGCTAGCAACAGCAGACAATGTGGACACTTGTGGTGTCAGCCTCCAACAATAAGAACCATTTGCAGTAAAAGGTGTAAACCTGCTGAGCCTCTTTTTTTTTAGGGATGTGAAATAAAAACTGCCTCTGTAAGGAGTAGTCAGCAGCTATGCAACCTTCAGCAGTGACCTGAAGCTGACAGCTTTAATCCTCTGGGGACGCTGGGAGATGCACTGTGGAGTGGACAGTTGTAGAAGTCTCTGCAGCATCATCCTTCCAGTCCTTCACTTTTTATTACTGAGCCAAAACAGAAAAATGGGGAGCTACAGAAAGTAAAAACAATAAAACTTCAGGAGGTCACATTTCTTATTCAGAAGCAACGTGTCGTGTTCTGTGTCCCTTTGGTCCCTAGCCCCCTCCAGGTTTTCCTCATGTTCTCTTAGTCTCCCCACTGTAGTTTCTATAGGTTTATTATTTCAGCTCCATATGGGCCATTCCCATCTGTACCGGGTCGGCCCGGGCCGGGTAGCGTAGGTTGTTTACATATCTGGGTGGCCTGGTATTTTTCCGGGCCAACCAAGGCTCATTCTCAGCCCTCTTCTCGAGGGGGTCTGCTTCAGGCCGACCAGGGCCAACACACCCACTGCTGACAGCAAATTCACACCTTCCATTAGAGCAAGCCTCTGATTGGTGGGTAGAATCAGCCCACATGGGCTTAAGACAAGGATGTGTGGAATCAACCGGGCCAGGCTGGGGCCGACTGGGGCTACCCGGCCCGGGCCGACCCGGTACAGATGGGAATGGCCCATTAGTCTCCTTTAGTGTGTGTGTGTGTTCCCTTCCCCAGTTAGGTCTGGTTTCCTCCCCTGCTCCGTTCTGCTCCTCCTCTCTGTTATTAGTTTCACCTGAACCAAATTCCCCACGCACCTGCTCCTTGTCTCCCATCACCCCAGCCCTGTGTATATTACCCTGTCTGTGTCTCCAGTGTTTGTCAGTTCATTGTCAGCGTTGTTTTTGTCCCCCTCTAGTAACTGTAGATTCTGGCTCATGAGTGAGCTTTTGTTTTTGACTTTTGGAACTTTGGCTTAGAGTCCTGCAGTGTTTGCTTTTTAGTTCTCACCCTAAATAAAGGACTTTTTATTTATACAACCTCTCCAGCCTTGAATTGTGGTGTTCTGCATTTTGGATCCAATCCTCCTGCGCCCGCAGCATGACACAACGCAGACGGGTGTATTTCCAGAAGAGCAACCTCTCATGAATTCCAAACAATCTGATGTCAGATTTAAAAAATGATTAAAACTGCACAACTAAACAAAAAATAGAAGCAATCTCTCATTTTCATAAATTATTCACTGAAGCCCATTATTATGGATTAGTCAGCGCTGCATTCTCCGCTCACCTCTCCCTGGAGCTGTCTTAAGGCTGCCCTTTTCTGGGGCAGAGCAACTTCAAAGAGGACTCAGAGATATTCATGCAGCATAAAGGGATTTTGGATGCAGGCGTGGATTCAGATTAGGAACGGCTCAGAGGAAATACATGTGAGCCAGTTTCTGGAGGCAAAGTAAGAGCTGCAGAGAGCTGTTCTGGATTTTATTATTCTTTCTATATAAATGTTTATTGATATATCTGCACATTTCAGACTGGTGCACAGCACATCTGCACAGTTGTTGGGTTTAATACCTCATGGGGAAGGTGGAGGGAGGACCTCTGAGCTCCGTCTCTGTGCTGGATCCCCATCAGGAAAGGCACAGGAGCATCCAGGAGGTGATGCAAAGGAGTAGAAATGATCGGCAGGTAGACGTGCTGCCACTGAAATGGGAACAACAGGGTGGTGATGCCCTCTGCCACAGTCATTAAACGCTGGTAATCTGCAGAGACAAGAAGCAAAACGAGGACAACTTTAGCATCAAAGGATCACCGGAGAGCACCCAGTCCCAGAGATGTTTTTATTTAAAAAAAATACCCATAAATGTATTTTAATAAAGCCAGCAGCAGCAGCTTCTAGCTGCATGGTGGTGTAGATGGCAGCACCGCTGCTTCAAATTAAGAAAGTTGCAGGTTTGAATCCAAGGTGCAGCCTTTGTTTGCGTGTTCTCCCCATGCATGTGTTTCCAGGTGCTCCGGTTTCCTCCCACAGGCCAAAAACTTGCATCTTAAGTTATCTGGAGACTAAAATAAAAACTGGTCTGGTTTATGTCCAAGTTTCAATATGTGTTTAATAACTTAAAGGAAAAACTGGAGAGTATTTTGGGGGGAAGTTTCTTAACAAAGTTTTACACTTTAAGTAAAAAAGTAAGATATTTTTCTAATTCCCAGTATTTTAGCTCCTCACCTCCTAAAGTGCATCTTTTCCTCTCAGTGGTGCATGTTATTTATTTGCAGCTCGCTACATTAGCTATCAGACAGGTGCAATCTGAATTAAAGTAACATAAAAGTTTAATGTATAAATGAGGTGTTGGGGCCATCTTCACTATCGCTGAGTGAAGAACAAAATCTTTTAACTGCATCTAGAAAAGCACTCCCAACTCACCCTTAGAGTACAGCAGGACTTGTGTCTCCAGCAGGGCACAGGTAAGCAGCTTCACCATACTGTCCACACCCAGCAGGGTGAAAGCCTCTCCGAGAGGATAGTCCCCCAGGGGAAGCTCCCCTGAGCCGGGCCGCTGGCACACGATAGGCCCATGCACTCCGTGGAACCTCAGTGACCGTCCAGGTGGAGGCAGGGGCACCTCATACAGGATGTTATAGATATAGCTCTCCAGAGGGAGAGGTGGTGCTGTCTGAGATGTGACAGCTTGGTGAAGCTGAGCCAGAAACTGTCGCGAAGCTTGCAAAAAGGGGAGCGGCGTGATCAGGCAGAGGGCTTTGGACACATACAGGGTGTCACGCGCTGCATCAAAGGAGCCCACGCAGCCAAGGCAGCCAGGAACCCTGGCTAGAGACTCAGCATCAGACTCCTCCAAGCTGCTCACCAGAGAGTCCATGCTGGAGGAGGAGGGCGAGGAAGCAGAAGAGGAGGAGGAGGAAGGTGAGGATGATGATGAACAGTGGTGCTCTACATGGTGCATCTGATAGAGCGTCTGCATGGCAGTGATGATCTGAGGACTGGTCACCTCCTCGTAGAAGGTGTGAACAAAGCCGTAAGAGCGTGTGCCATCGTCAGAAGTGATCGTGAAGGAGTGAAAGTGAGGGTCGAGTCTGTCGGCCTGGGTGCAGAAGGACAGACCTCTGGGCATGCAGAGCTGAAAGCGAAAAGATGAAAACATTTTAGAACAAGTGGAAATTCAAAACTGACCAAGTAGGACAGCAGTTACACTCAGGGTTTCTGCAGAATTTTAGTCCTTTGTCACATGTTTTTGCTTTAGTTTCAGGGTTTGATTGTTGCCAAGAGTTGACTTCAATATATTTGCTGTCCAGGCATCTGATGTGTTCTAATTGTCAGAATTGCCAATCATGCTAAAAACTGGCCAATTCAAGCTGACTTTTATGGTCGTTTTTGGATGAAGATTGTAAAATGCAAACTACTTCCTCTTTTCTCAAGGGTTCAGAAAATCTTTTCTGAATTCAAATGTTTATATAGGAAAATATATCTGTAAAGAAAACAAATTAAATATGGAATAAGCCCCCAAAACTGAAAGAAAAACCCATTTTAAATGGCTGAGCTAAAATAAAATGTCCTATTTTTATCTGACAAACATTCTCTTAGTCTGATGCTTTCATCATCATGACCTGATTTTCCACCAGTGAACAAAAAGCATGCTCTGCACGCAAAAATAAATAAATAAAACACCTAAATTTAACTGGAAACGGAGTAAAAACGAGCTGGAACAAAGGAAAAGCAGAAAATATTTTTAAAACAACATCAGAGAAAGTCTTCAATAATTCAAATGTCGCTTTGGAAATTCTATATTTTACAAGTAATTAAATTTTTTGAGACACTGGCTGGTAAATTTCCCTGGTTTCACTGCACCAGAATTAGGCTTCTATTGCATCCAAACACATTTCTTGGAATATTTTACAGAAATACCGAAAACTGTTTAGAAAAACAAAACATCACCACACATCTCACCATGTTGACAGCATCTTTGTTGAAGGGGTTCCTGTCTCTGTTTTCTGGGTAATGCACAAGAACTCTTGACCTGAAGGACCGTCGGATGGGGATCTGCTCAAAATTCTCTCCTGAGAGTCACACGGATGCAAAAGGAGGTTACTGCATCATCAGACAGGAATGTTTGACCTTGATTGCTGAATCAGAATTTAAAAATGAGACATAAAACAAGGACATGCAACTTTGACTCATACAGCACAGACAGGACACCCTTGTCTGCCACAGACTAGAAGTTAATTTTATTGTTGACTGCACGGACGATGCTGCTGTGAAGAGGAGACAGGAGCCATGTGAGGGTTATATAACTACTTATTACCATGAAGACAGACAGAGGATGCAGCTCATGTCCGCAGAAGAAAACTCCATTTGCTCACTTTGCCCTGGGTGAATCTAAAACTCTCTATCACAGACATCACTGCATTGCAAAAACAAAATCAGCAACAAATTAAAAAACTAGCAGCTTTGACGCAATTGCTCAATGTTCAGGAACATCCACCTCAACTGGCTACAGGATGACGCACGCGGCCCCTAGACGAGAAAATGCAGCGAGAAAGGAGCACCACTTGGAGTTAAACTGAGTCACACTGGAAGGTGGAAGCCGGCGTCGAAGGAGAAGGAAGGGGGTGTCAGGGTTCTTTACAAGGGATACAAATTGGAGCCGGAGCTGACTGAGAGGCAGAATCAAGCCACCGAGTTGCCATGGCATCCGCTTTCGCCGCGGCTTCGGAGAGAGCCATTAAAACAGAGCTTTTGTGTTCGTCACCGGTTATTTTATCTTTTGTTGCTGCAGCCAGAACAATTAAAACGTCATTCTGCTCCTGACACGCGTTCCCACTGAAGATCTGACACACAAAAACACGTGACTAGATGGGGTTTTAGAGTGAATCAAAGCCAAGGGAGTTGTTTGGTGTTTGAATGAAAGCTTAAACTTCTGTTTTAGTTTGGCTGTGATCACCAGTAACAATTTACTCGCTACAACTTGTATCATCACTATCTCTTTCACAGTCTCTTTTGCCAATTGCAGCTCAGAAAGCTAAATCCTGCACCGCCGCAAATCTGATTTTATATTCACAACAGTCCTTGTTGGTCATTTTAGTGCAAACCTAAACTTATCATGGTCATTCCATAGATTAGACCTTCCATCTCAGTGATTTATAGCCCTGATTAATGTGATTTATAACCTCTGCTCCCGAAACAGACTCATTCTCAGTGTGCCATAAAAGTGGACATCACTCTCACTCACAAGCTCAGCTGTCCAATTCATCACGTCATTACACTGTAGACAAGGGCAGGTATAGAAAGAGAAAAGGGATTGCAGAAAAGGGGACGTCAGATTTGCTGGTCTAGTGAAGTCAGATAAAAGAAAAGTTGTTTTTAATACAGATTTTGATTTTCCAGAATAAAAGCACCACATTCTTTAAGTTATAGCTGAGAGCATGCATCTCTGCGGTCAGCTGTACATCATAAAGCTGATCTGTTCATCCTGCAATGATGTCAACCCCAACACCATCCCGTGACCGCCACCGGGCCTGCAGCCTCGGCCGTCCAGCATTCCAATAGGCAGTCCCGTGTGAAATTTGATTAGGCTGCAGAAAACACAGTGGCATCTATTGAGAAGCCAACAAGAGATTGTCTCTTGGTGGGCATTCGCTAATTACACCATTACACACAAAAAAACGATATACGTCACCTCATCCTCACCTCCACAAGAGCAGCACGCACAAGTATTTACAGCCTGGATGTGGAGCTCAATGGAAAATATGTGTACAAAGAGACAAAACCCCTTCAGAGGTGAAGAAGCCCCCCCACTGTGAGTCTAAAATGACCAACTGTTACATAAGCAGATTGGTGGAGCTCAGATTTCCATCAACTGTTACGGTCACTCACAGCAGGGTGTGTGTGTGTGGGGGGGGGGGGGGGGGCAGACATCAGCCCAATGGTTTGTTAGAGCTCTGAAATCTGCAGCAGCCCAAGCACACTCGACCCAAATTAATGGATGCATTAATTAACTTGGTGCTAAAGCCAAGCAACCGTGTCCCCTTAAGGGACAGTCTAAATTAGTTTCTAATGGAGAGAACACGGGGAAGACAGGGTGTGACTGTTGTCTGCTGCTCCAGAACCTGGAAGTGACGTTGTGCACACTTGTATGGTTCCGTTTCCTCACAGAGCACAGCAGACGTCACACACAGTTCGTGCAGAAGAGAATAACAGCATTCACGTCTGCTTTTTCTTAGAAAGCCATCCACCGTGCTGCTGCTGTCATTTCTGTGGGAACCATCCACACACACACACACACACACACACACACACACACACACACACACACACACACACACATACACACACACATACACACACACACACACACACACACACACACACACACACACACACACACACACACACATACACACACACACACACACACACATACACATACACATACACACACACACACACACACACACACACACAGACAGAGAAGCTTAACATGGGTTATAATCTATCTCAGAACAGAGTGATCTGCTCTAACCCTGAACCGCTGCTTCCATTCCCTAGCTGTGCTCCAGAGCAGGATGTTGTTGTTGTTCTCCTGTCTCGGTTCATCCTGTTCTATGCTGTGTTCCTAAACCCAGGTGGAGATTGTGGGTGACTTGCAGAAACCCTCAGAAAAATATCGACCACAATAACCTGATGCTGTGTTTTCCTCAAGCAGAGGTCAGACAGAAAGACCAGACTATGGGGTGTCACTTTCAATCCAAGAAACCTGTTTTCAGATCTAAAAACGAATGTTTTTGGTTTCCTCTATAAATACACAGGCTTATCTTCAAAGCAGTCGTAACAGATGCAATCAGAGGCTGACAGTGTGGTTGTTACATAAATTATCTCATTTTCTTGGCCAAATAGGTCATCTCAGTGAGCTGCACAAATATATATTTTCAGCCATCCTGATAAGAGAAAAATACATGATTTTTAAATGATTTATACCACAAAATGAGCCTAAAGGAAACTGGTGAATATTTAAAAAAAAGACAAAAAAAACTCAATAAAAATCTTTTAGGTGTGATTTAATGAGCGTTATTTACCTGCTCCATCGTCGGGCTCCAGGCCCGTCTCGGTGTCCACTCCACACACGACAAAATAGTGGGCGAAACGGCACGAAGGAGCCGAACCACCGACTGCAGCAGCGGTGCCGTTCATCCTCGACGCGATGGCGGTGACAGCCGCTTAAAGCCTCATAACCCCGTAAGAAGCCCCGCTCCTCTGGTCGGTAAGAGCGGGTTCCGATCAGAACTCACCGAATGACTGAGAACCGAGACCGGAGGATCCAACTGGACATCCAGTCTGATCGGGGAGGGAGGAGGAAGGCAGGCTGGGTGGGAGGAGGGAGGGAGGAGGGGGAGGATTGGGAGACAAAAGGCTAAAGAGAACATCACCCCATGCGAATTCCCACATCCTCTGCGACTTCTGCGGCTAAGCAAATAATAATAATCATCATCATCTACCGATTGTTCTTCAAATTATATTTTTGTTCACCTCATCAACATTTTAACAAATTAAAAATGAAATTAAAAACTAAACAAAATGGGTACAAATCAATTATTTCTAAAAATTTGAGGAAAATAAAATCAATGCTGCATTTAATGGTCATCGGAAACAGGACATCTAAAATTTAAATAAAATAAAATAAAATGTATTCTAACAAATCCACATTGTGTTTTCTGTCGAATAAAAGCAAAATTGTGTCTTAGAAAGAAAGAAAAGATGATTGTTGCTTTCCTTTTGCATTTTCATTTAGCAAACAAGTTTAGGAAGAAGAATTTAGCGGCCTGCTTGTCACGTGGACACGTTTGGAGTCAGAAGTAACCAGACAACATGTCAGAACTGGATATACCTGAAATAACAAGGAAATATAAAATTTAAAATGATCGGATGATTAACTGACTGGCACCACGGTGACTTATGGGAAATATGTAACAACTTGTATTTCACGAAAGAAATAAATGCTTTTAATTATAATAATAATTAAAAATAAAAACATGTTTTGGTGAAGATCGCTAGTGGTCATTAGGGGTATTACCCATTAAGTCATATATTGGCTTCCTTTTTCAACCTAGAACCAGTTCAAAGGACTTAACTGGTAACTTCCTGTGTATCATGCGTCATGAATCATGTGCTGAAGGTCATGCAAGAAGTCTGATATTATGCAGGTATAAAAAATTAACACATTTTGACAGATCTGTATTTTTTATACAGGTGCTGGTCATAAAATAAGAAAGTTTATTTCAGTATATATCTTCTGGATTGTTGTAGATTTTGTATATGTGGTTAAGGTCAGGCGAGTTTGCTGACCAACCAAGAACAGGGATACCATGGTCCTTAAACCAGGTTGGCACTGTGCAGGTGTCAAGTCCTGTTGGAAAACGAAATCTGCATCTTCATAAAGTTGGTCAGCCGCAGGAAGCACGACGTGCCCTAAAACTTCCTGGTAAACGGCTGCGTTAACCTTAGACCTCAGAAAACACAACGGGCCAACACCAGCAGATGACACCGCACCCCAAACCATCACTGACTGTAGAAACTTTACACTGGACCTCAAGTAACGTGGACTGTGTGTCTCTCTTCTCTTCCTCCAAACTCTAGGACCTTGATTTCTAGAAAATGCAAAATTGACTTTCATCAGAGAACAAAACTTTGGACCACTCAGCAGCAGTCCAGTCTTTTTGTTTTTAGCCCAGGTGAGACGCTTCTGACGCTGTCTCTTGTTCAAGAGTGGCTTGACAAGGAGTGTGACGCAGCTTAAAACCGTGGCTTGCAGATGTGTGTGCGGTGGTTCTTGAAGCAGACTCCAGCTGCAGTCCACTCTTTGTGAATCTCCTCCACATTTTTGAATGGGTTTTGTTTCACAATCATCTCCAGAGTGTGGTTATCCCGGTGGCTTGTACATTTTTCTACCACAACTTGTCCTTCCCTTCACTTCCCTATTAATGCTTGGACACAGAACTCTGTCTGAACAGCCAGCCTCTTTAGCTATGACCTTTTGTGTCTTGTCCTTGTGCAAGGTGTCAATGGTCGTCTTTTGGACATCTGTCAAATCAGCAGTCTTCCCCATGATTGTGTAGTCTACAGAACTAGACTGAGAGACCATTTAGGCTTTTGCAGATGTTCTGAGTTAATTAGCTGATTAGAGTGTGGCACCAGGGGTCTTCAATTTCTATGTTTGTGTACACACACTCATACACAATTTCTATGTGTACGAGTGTGTGTGCCTGGGAATGGTTTGTGGATTGGGGGTGAAACTGTCATAATTGTTTTAAGCGTGGGAAAGGGAGGAAATGTGGGTTATATGGGTCATTTTAATCTGTTAAGCACTTTGTGTTGCATCCTGTGCATGAAATGTGCTAAATAAATAAAGTTTGATTTGATTTAATTCAATTTTGAACCTTTTCACAATATTCAAATTTTCTGAGATACTGAATTTGGGATTTTCATTAGTTGTCATTTACAATCATCAAAATTAAAGAAATAAACATTTTGAAATATGTCAGTCTGTGTTTAATAAATTAATATAATACACAAGTTTCACTTTCTGAATGGAATTACTGAAATAAATCTACTTTGTCATATTTTCTACTCAGAATCCTGACTTTTATGCCAACTGTTCAGTTAGATGTAACAGCAAAGTCCCTGTTACAAAGGTTTGTGTCGCTATTATTTTTCACTCGTTTACAATTATTATGAACGCAGTGACAGATCAATTTCTTAAAGGGGATCAACTAAGTTGTCTAAAATAGTGAAGAATGTCCAACTTTACCAAACTTTGAAAGAGCATCAAACGCATCAGACCATATCACATATTTTTTGAACAATTCATACAGACAAGAAAAAAACTAATTCATCTTCTTTATTTAATTAAAATAATAAACTAGCTCATAGGTCAATCCGTGTTCTTCTATGTTTTGGTAAACCATTATCTCCTGAGAGGTATTTTACTTGATTTTATACAAATTGGTGTCCAAACATAGAAATGAGCAGCAACTTCTTTAGATCTAAACCCACCATTTACTAAAAAAAACTATATTTAAATTATTTTTTAACAGAATCGTCACATTTCCAGTATTCTTCCCTTTTGTAAAATACTCTGCTGGTACACGGATCCACAGCTCCGGTCCAGCAGCTGCACAACAGTTGGTTCTGTCACTCGCTGTACTATTTGTGCATAGATTTATATGGCAGCTAGGCCTGCATTTCACATTCATCACTGTTGTCATCAAATAACTATTTAACTACACAACACGTCATAATCATGGCTAGTCTTTCTAACAGATCTGACTTTTTCTTTAAGCTACAAGTTGTAGAACAATAATAATCTTTCTTTATTTGCAGTTTCCTCCTGTTCTTCCTGGGGGGGTGGGGGCTTTGCAACACTTCCGTACACCAGCTGGTGCATTCTGTATCATGAAAACATTCTGCAATCAAATCTTTCTTGCAGCTGTGGCTCAAATCACAACGTGATAAGACAGTGGCTGAACATCAACATCCTTGTCTACAGGGGAGGAAAAGCAAACATTATGGAAGGTTTTAAATCCCTTTTGAGTCACTAAAGGTCAAAAAAACCTTTAAACTGATTAAAATTAACTTTATTAAGAAAGACCGTTCTTTTTGCACCTCTAAACAAAAAAATGTAGAGAGGAATTAATCTGCCTTGTGCTGCTCGAACCTTTGAGAACTTCTGGCAGTAGGATTCGATTCTGAAATTTACCTGAAATACATTCCCAGTGATTTAATTTGATGTTCTCAGAAGATGAGTTCTGGATCTTTGAAGTAATAAAAAAAGGGAACCTGGTGATGAAATCTTTGAGCAGCAGGAAAGATGGAGGTGGGCTGGGATGACACCCACACACCAAACTAATGAGGTCATCCTGATCTCAGCTTTGTTAATTCGTAGCTACGTAAGATGCTAACAGAGGAGGAGTGTCTGAAAAAGAAAACTTAATTCAGTTTTGACTGGTGATGATACGGATCATCCTGTGGAGGATGTTGTTGAACGTCCACAGGAGGTCAAAGATCCTGAACATCTACAGTAGTGATGCTAGAGATGTTTAGTTTAAAAGCTAAAGCGTTGGCAGGGTTGGTGCCTTTGGTAAACTTGGTAGAAGCTTCAGAGAGTGCAGAGAGGGAGAGGTCTACGTCAAAATACGCGCTACCTGGGCCTGGATCTGCCCATCAGGGTGTGAAAGAAGCTGGACAAGTTTGCTGTGGAGCTGGGAAGATTCATCCAGCATGACCCGGAAGAGACTATCCTGTTTTCGCCGTAGTTCATCTGCCACCTGTGCAGAGGGCCTCCAGGCTTTCAAGTTTCCTGCAAACGTGAGCAGTCGCAGAAGCACCTGAGGGGCTGTTCGCTCGTCAAACAGCAGCAGCACAGAAGCTGGCGCCTGGATCAGAAAACAACAAGCAAGAAATATAAAAACTTTAAAACTAACCAAGATTCATTTCAAAATTAATTTCAAATTTACTTGAGCTTGAACTATGTCATCTATCATGTCTGGATTGGATGACAGGTTCACGAGGACTTTCAGGGTCTGAATCTGGAGCAAAAACATCAGAAGAGCTTCAGATTTCCAATGCTTCTGTTATCTCTTTTGCACAACAACACAAAATCATTATATGTCACATTTAAAAGGTCTGTTTTTAAAATATGAATGTGAAATGCAAACCTGCAACGCCTCACTGCTCACAACCAGAAGAGACAAGAGAAGGGTAACAGATTTCTTCAACAAGTGTTGATGGTTGTCTGTAACTGAGAGATTTGTCAGCAGCCGCAGAGCTCCCAGCTGAAGGTCTGAGTTCACCGGGGACATTTCAATCAGCTCCAGCACTTGTGGCACATAAAGCTACAATATAGAGGAAGATCAATTATTTTATAAAAAAAACGTCTTCTGCAAAAACCAACATCACTGTGTGAACTAAAACAATTTAACGACAGAGTTAATAGCAATGTACCTTAATTTGTTCCTGGTTTGGGATGTTCATACAAAGATTATTTAAAGCATTCAGACTCTGCACTCTGACCTGGGCTTCGGGGTCAGAAAGGAAACGAGCTACAATATGAATCCCTTCGAATTCCCGGATTAGATTCTAAAGAGACAAGAGAACAGAAAACGATGAATGCAAAAATCAATCCAAAGGGGAAAAAAAGCCATAAAAAGCCACATGTTACAGACAGAATATTTAGATATCTTAATGTCCTAACAAAAATAAAATAGGCAAGTAAAGTATGCCAGCATATGCTGGGTTGTTGATCACTTGTAACAGAGCGATCAACATTAGAATACATAGTTTTTCTAAAGTGTAAATTATTCTAAAATTACAATTTAAAGAGCAAGTCACCCCCACCTCAACTCTCTTTGCTGATCAACTATATTAATGAGTATCTAATCATGCTGTAGACATGTGTATTCAATAATTTGGCACTTTAGTGCATCTTAGTTAAAATTTAAATATTCTGCCTAAAACTGTCAGAGTTGCTCCCGCTTCAGGTAAAAACTGCACTGCATTTGAATTCACATCGGCCATCGTTATTGGCTAAGAGGTAGTACCCTATGATGTTAGCTGGTACATTATGATGTCACAATGTCGTTGTGAGCCTGTGTGTGTATTTGTTAGCGGCTCTGCCCTCTCGGTCTGCCAGGCAACAGCATTTGTTGCATTTTTTAAACAGGAAATGGGAGAGAAGTAAGACTCTGGTAGGAGGTGACTTGCTGTTTAAAACTACTTTTTAATCAATTTCTGAACATGTGTAGTTATGTTATAGTATGAATAAACTATATGATCAATTAACATTGTTTTTCAAACAACTAATTTAGGCTAATCAGTGACAGCGTTTGACTTTTTTCTGATGAGCATGGGATTTTTGAAACATTCCAGTCAGGTTTTAGATCTGAACTTGGGTGAAGACACTGTCCTATTGCTAGTTCTGTAAGCAGCTTTGACACAGTCAATCACAGAATTTGAATCAAACAGTTGGAAAACTGAACAGGGATTGTGGGATAGACACCAGTGGCTGACCTCATATCTGGTTGGAAGGAGTTTCTGTTCTAGGATGGACAGGGCTTTTCATCCTCCATAGCTGACCTAAACTGGGGGGTTCCACATGCCTCAGTTCTTGATCCTTTATTTTTCCCCATCTAGATGATGGACCTATGCAATATTTTTAGAAAACGCTTGACCGATCAGGAACTTTTGGTTGTAACTAGACTCCAGTATAAATCAAGGGGAGATCGAGCCTTCTCGGTGCTGGTGCCGAAGTTATGAAACTGTATCTGTTAAAAAAGCCACTCCGATCACAATATTAAAAAAACATTTTAAAACCAATTCTTATTTAGTTCTAACTAGGCACTGAGAGCCACATGGCTATGTTTTTATTTTTTATTATTTAATCATCTTGTAGTTTGTTTGGTTAATTCTCTTAAACTTTATAAATTCCTAAACTGTTGACATCTTATGGTTATTTTAGCACTGTACAGCCATTTGGTCGTTCTGTGAATGGTTTAAGTGCTCTAGAAATAAAGCTGATTCATTGCAAATCTGTTCAAGTTGCTCTTCTGGCCTCATCTTCTCAGGGTGAAAGGTACAGATCCCTGTGCAAGAGTCAGGCTACTAAAGAGCATTTTCAGCATACCTGATTTACAGTGAAGGCCGCAGCATTTCCTATTGTAACAAGAATCCTACACCTGTCAGATGGGTCTTCACTGGTCTGCAGACATGACAGCAACATCTTCAAGTGCTGTGGCTCCAAATTGTTAGGGGACTGATGGATGACTTCACCTTTGGAGCAGAAAATAAATAAGTTTCAGTTTTATTGAGACTGCTCAGTTTCTTGGTCTTTGCAGAAATTGGTAAAATGCATTCACTGTGAGAACAAACATGGGATAAAACTTTGTTACGATCATTCTGTTATAAATGCAATCTAATTAGTTTCATGATTCTGATATTCACCTGATGCGGCATCACCTGGACGGGGACAGACAACATCAAGTCCGGATACTTTAGCAAGCAGACTCCCCGGTTGTAGCTTAACTTCACCCTGCTGACTGGGTCTGACGGGACTTTCACTTACAGTACTTTTCTTGTTTTTCTTAAACGTTTGCCCACTGATGAGTTTGTACAAACCATAAGAAGCTCCAGCTCCAGCGATTATTCCAAGCAAAGCCTTCATGTTGCCGAGCCTCGGGACAACACTGCCATCACCCATGCTAGCTAATCTCCGCTAACTGGCTAGCCACAGATGCTCCAAATCGCTTCGTGAAATCTGAGTTTTAAACTAAAGATCATTAGTTAGCCAACACTCACCACAAATGCCACGATAAGACAACTACACGCTTTCATTCTCACAACATATCCTTTAACTTCGCTGAGAAGGCACAGTTGACAACAAAAGCAGATTTGTTAAATTACTCTGGTCCAGATTAAAGTGGCCAACAAATACTATCTCTGGGTGAATTTTACAACTTTATATTTATAGATTTTAATAGTTAGTTGCAATAATCATTTAACACACAGCAGTGTTTTGAATACATGTTTAAACATTTGGTTAATCTTATTGAAAACTTCGAACTTGTTTAAGATTATTCTGTCAACATAACAAGCTGCCGCACGCTTGGTTGCCCAACATTTAATGTTGCTCCACTGATCCGTTTCCTTGGCAACGGATAATTTGCAAGAAAAAATAGGAATTTAATTTTTTAAAGAAGCTGATTGGCAAAAGAAATGTTTTACAGGTAAACTGCTCTGGAAAAGGTGAGTATTCGAACAAACACCCAGTTTGTGAAAAACACTTTGGTAACCCATGTAGCTGCTTCTTTTCTTGTGCCTTCAGACAAACGCATGGTGGCCCACTTTCACAACATTTTACTCCAAAGCGCCACATACCGTTGGAAACCTATTAAAATCAAATATATACACAAATAAAAGGCTATACTTCCTAAAATGAGCAGTTCATATTTTACCAAGTTTACTTAAAGGGGAAGTCACCCCAAATCAACTTTTTTGGCTGATAAACTATACAAACGAGTGTCTAATTGTGCTGTAGACACATGTAGTCAATAATTTTTGCACTTCAGTGCATTTTAGTTAAAATTTAAATATTCTGCCTAAAACGGTCAGTGTTGCGCCGTCGTCAGGTAAAAACTCTGCACTGTAATTGAATTTAAATCTGCCACCGCTATTGGCCAAGAGGTATGATATGATGTTAACTGGTACATTATGTCACAATCGCCATTGTGAGCCGGTGGGTGTTTCCCAATGTCAAGGCGCCTGGCTTTGCGAGGCGATGTCTTGCGAGGCCAGGCGCCTTGCTTACGAGGACACCGTCCTCCCTTGATCAAAGAAAACTATTAAATGGAAAAGACTTGCATCACGTGACCCTGGTGGTCACGTAACGTCACGTGACACGGGAAATAAAGTTATATTTTATACGTATTAGTTTCATTGTAAATATATAATGAGCCTTTTACTTTTTAAAATGTGTATATATTTGTTAAATTAAATATATAAGTGAGTTACTACCCGCTAGCCACTGAAGCTGCAACTAATGAGCAACTAACCAACCATAGATAACTTCTTTGGATTAAAAAAAAACATTTTAAATTTGTTGACTTACTTTTAAACTTTTAAACTTGCAAATTATCCCCTTAGTAGCGAACAGGTGCCGTCCTTTTTAAAATACTGCAGTGTATTCTGGGTAATTTTGACCAAGGCTAGGCTACAAGACACTGCCCAGCGCTTTC